TAGTGCACGGACGAAATTTTAACAACACGCGCACACACTGATTTCTTGAGAGAAAGAAGTAAGACCAACTACAAAGAGAAAAACACATATAAAAGAAGAGAAAGAAAAGTGTGGATATCACCATGCCCCAAAACATCTTCGATGAGAGAGGGTGGGCCACGGCAATGATAGAGAACGGGTATGCGATCCTAATACCTCATCTTGTTAGAGAAAAAAGACCTTTAAGCGTCTATTAGAGAATCCCTTCTCGATGTTCTTTTTATTAAGAATCAAAAGAGATAACGTTAAGCGAGAGAAGAGAGGATATTATACAAGAGAGAATAAAGCATCAAGGAATGCGAGTTGAATAAACACATTGTGAAGAAAGAAGTGAGTCAAGGTATGTAAACATATGACTGTAACATATCTCCCCACCGACAGAAATGTGTGTCCACACACATTAAAAAGAGAAAGTAACAAGAACAAAGAAAAAACAACTGCAAAATAAACGTAAAAATGTGAATAAGATTTTGTCAAGCAATACATCGGGATTAGTACATATCGTCACAGAAAAATTCTTTTCGTTCTGTTCGTCCCTAAGTATTTGTCTCTGCTCTCTTAATGAATTATATTTTTGTGTATAACCAATGGAAATAACATAAAATAAATGAAAAATTGCAAGAGATGTGTACAATAGCGATAGATAATTAATTGTGTTAAGACATATAATTTTAATTCGGCGAAAACGATCAATACAAAATATTATTCTCATTTAATTGTGACATTGCTAAAGCTAATGAAGACTAATTAAATTTGTCGCTCGTTTGATGAATTTCAGCATGATCTAAAATTTAAAAAAAACGCTGCTCCGGCATTCTTAACTATGGGAACAAGTCAAATAAAAACAATACATTTCACTTCTAAATATTAACTTTCACTGCGCACTATACTCTAAAACAAATAGGCTTTTTTACAGAACCTAAAAAGGATCTTATCCTCGACACACGGTCAGATCCTTTTTTGGTATTGTAAAAAGTGAGGTTTCTTACCAACCCCCCTTCACGATAATTCAAAAAAAGGTTTCGTACCCAACAAAGGTTCCGTACAAAACTATTTGCACTAAACCTTCTTCCAAATTGTCTCACCACTCAAAAATTTCGTTTAACCCTGTGCTGCCGCCCGCGGTATGCACACTATTCGATTATTTCTCAAAACCCGAGTATGGTATACATCAAATGAATCAATAGTAAGATGAAATAGTCTACAGAGTAATTTTCTGCATTCAAGGAAAATCATTCTATAGACTATTTCATTCTACTGATGATTTATCTGATTTATACCATACTTGGATTTTCAGAAACACTAGAATAGTATGCATACACGCGGACGGCACCAGACGGTTAATGCCAACTCCACCCGTGATTTCCATAATTGAAAAAATCTAAAATACAGAAACGAATAAATATAATTATTTTATAAGATTAAACTTACTTCACTATTCTTATACTTGGAACAATCTATAATAAACAAATTAGCGAAAATTTATAATTACATAAAATCAGACATACCTAAAACTCCATACCTATATTAATCTAGAATTCCAAAAACGAATAATTCTTTGATTTGCTAAGAGAGAACTTACCTAAAACTGCGTATAAGCATCAACCTAGAATAAAAACAAATCAAATATATTAAATTATATACGATCAAACTTACCTGAAATTGCATCGTTGTGGCCTTCTATAATTAAACCAAACAAATTTCTGTTATTTTATGAAATCAAATTTTCCTGAAACCTTCTATATGAATGAATCAATAACAAAAAAAATATTCAATTTCATCACATGAAACTTACCCCAGAATTGAGGGCAGAATTGAAATAAAAAGTCTATCATGTGAAATTCGGACTCCTGATCGGCGGATTTTCTCAGCCATAAAAGCTCGGATAGAAAAACTGATAACGGATTTGGACTCTGGAACCCGATAAGCTATAGAAAGTTTGACATAGATAATAAACCGGTGAAAAGTTAAGTGCAAAAACTATGAAACCTTGAGAGAGCCTACGAAACTATCAGTGATTTAGTACAAAATATACGAAACTTTGACATGGATCATAAAGTGGGAGCCGTTCAGCTCAAAAAGTACGAACCCTCGAATGTTCTACGAAACCATCAATTGTATTCCAGAAAATATTCCAAACCTTTTGACAGTTTAGGGAACCATCAATGGTTCCGTGGACATATTACAACACCTTAAAGTCGACTAGCAAGTGTCGAAAAGTTCCGCACAAATAATACAAAACCTTTGAATCATCCACGAAACCAACAGTGGTTCCGTGGGTATATGACGAAACCTTCTGCCATTTCACAAAACTATCAGAGGATTGGTACATGACGTACGAAACCACAAACCACTTTACGGAACCTTCAAAGAGTTTAGGCACAAAATTGCGAAACCTGGTAAAATCTGCTGAACTTAAAATAGTTCTGAAAGGAGACCACGGAACGTTTTTCACTCCACGGAAGTTAAAATCGTTCTGTGGAGAAATGCGGAACTATTAAGGTTCGGTGGAGTACCGATTTTTTTTAGTGTAGGGAAAAGGCTGAGACGTTTGGCGACACATTATTCAAAATAAAGATTTATTCTGGCTGCCTCCAAGTGTGAGATTTATCAAAAATATCAGATTTTCTAGAAGAGGAAAAGTATCTGTTTTCTCCTTACTCACTCTTTGAAGTAACTGAAAAAAACGATGAAATGATCACCTTGACGGCACATGATAATTTGAAAAAACCGGAATGGATATCAAACTTCCAAAAGTTCAAGGCGATTGATAAAATGGACTATAGTATTCAATAAGAAGTCCTTGCTGAATGTAATAATTTGAAAATAACACTGAACAAATTTGTTATTAGAACGAAGAAGCGATCGAGTCTGTGATTGCCATATGGCCTATCTTCTACTCAGTTGACGAATATGTCTATACCTTTTTCAAGTTACAGCATCTATCTTTATAATTGTTATGTGTAACTCTTTCATGTTTTCTTTCTTTTCTATCATTGTATTTACTTATTTGTTGTTTGTTTGCTATTACTTCCCAGTGAAAAATATCCATCACAAAATCGTGATTATTTTTGATTGTGGTTGACCAAATCCGATTTCTCGAATCAAACTACCTCTTTTTGTAATATAATCCGATTAAAATCCAGTAATCAATTGAAATTTCAATCTTGGAAAGTCAAATTGATAGATTATCAATCGATTATTTCTAATTACTGCAATTCACCAGCTTGATCAATTCGATACAGAATCCGAAGGGTCCTACCAAGAGAGCGGCTTTTATTGAATTACCGGGCTGAGGAATCCGACAACGGGTTTGAAAGTCGAAATCAATATACTTTCCTACTATCGTTTTCGATCAGTTTCCAATAGGATCCGATCACCATCTCTACATTTTCTGTGCACAGTCAATGCTCCTCTATTGAACCTAATGCAAGCCACATCAGTATTTAACACTAAATTTTCGGTATGGGTGTCGGTGTTAATGCAGAGATTGCCTACACCCACACCCACACTCTTCACCCTACTTCTAATAAATTCATCTTAAAACAGACTCCTTATCAATCGAAATACATATTTCACAAATATATTTTCTAATCAACTCCTTCCGTACCTAGAAACCTACGCAAAAAACACACTCTCAATGATACAGGTTTGGTGAAACTTCCAACTCTTCCAATCCTGTTTTCAATTTTTAGCTTCTAATATCTCTATGCAGTATCTAAACTCCATTCTTACCTGGTGAGTCCCTTAAGCAAGGTCGAAACGATCGTCGTAAGTAGCTTGAAATTCACTTTTATATTCACACCCACACCCTGAACAAATTCATTTTTTGAAATCACTATTAAACAATTTTTATAGAACACAACTTTTTCTGCACATGCTAACCATTAGTAAGATACTTGAGGGTGTGGGTGTGGTTGTATCTGTGAGTTGATCGCACACCCACACCCAAGATTCCGGTCTAACGGTGATATACATCCCTTTCAGATCAAAAAATTTCGCCCGAAAAATAGGTAAACACTGACAGCACAAATATCAATAAAAGGCATCTAAGACCCAATGCAATGTACCAGAAACCATTCTATCATCAAGCAAATATTCAAATTAACCATAGAAAAACCAAAATAAATCACATATAAATCACCATTTAATTCAATTTAAATTAAACCAACAAAATGAACACACATTTTGCGAGCAACATCGATATACCTAAGATCTCGTGGTAGCTGTGCTCCCCCTCACACCCTTTAAAATCGAAATTCTATTAGTATCGTTGTTTTCATACTCACCCTCACCCTCACCTCTTTCTGCTGGATGTGAGAATTTTGAATATCTATGAAGTTCTACTTCTTATTGCAAATTTACCTGAAGAGTTCCTTAAGCAAAGACAAAAAACATCGTAACTAGCTTGAAATTATCTTATGGACTCACCCTCACCTCTCGCACCATCCTAATGAAGTACAATTCAATTAATCATTTATCGTTCCAATTCAAACTAACTAACATTGACTGTCACTCAGAAAATTAGTTTTGGGTCAGTGTTTTTTTTCGCGTTCCTACTATAGCAAATTATTTGTAGAGGTCTGTCTTCATCTCTAGGATTATTACCCCAAAACCAGTCTTGTATACATAAAATATAGTCAATAAGTTTATTTTATAGAAAAAAAAAGAAGCGAATGAGTTAATATAATTCATAACATAAACTCAAAAGAAATCAAACTCCGTTGTACATTTATAACAAAAAAAATTAGATAATTGATCATTCACAAAATGTAAAAAGAAAATGATACAAAACGGAATACAAAGGACACTTTTTAAATTGATATCTAGTAAGAATAATGTCAAGACTTCGTTCTTTTCAATGCTTTTCTGTTGCTATATTAGAGAAGATCTCGTACAAAAAAAACCAAAGAGAAAAAGCTTCTTGACAATGAAAGTAAACGACCAAATCAATGTATTTCCTATTGACCTTTCAATCGTTCGATGAGTTTACCCAATCGATTGTCATTATCAAAAGCATCCATTTCTTCGAAATGAACATGCGCAAGCTCCATCAAATTATCTAATGTCTCCTTTTTAATGTCATCAAGTACGATAGGATTTTCTAGCCAAACTTGCCATCGTTGATACTTATCACTATCTAGCATATTACATAAATCTCGATCAATATTACTTTGTGGACCATCTAAAACATGTTTTAACACATCGAAAAAATTTGAAAGCCAAAATAAAAGATGCCTCTCAGCATTAGGTTTCAATGGGTCAGGTACATAATCACCAGTACCCAGTGATAGAACAAATATATTATCACGATTTGAAGTTTGGCGACAAGCATAACCGTATGCATGCATGGCTGGGTTATTAGCTTGAAGTCCACCATCAACATAAACGGAATCATTCAGTCGGTAAGGTGGAAAGTATATGGGTGCAGCTGATGTACACATTAGAATATCAGTAAATGTATAATCTTTACTTGAATCCTCTAAAGCAACACTTCGTCGAAATGATTCTGTAGTATTACTCTCTGAATTAACTGTCGTTACGATAAGATCTGTGAGAGATTCCGATAAACGACTATCTTCGAAATATTCATTAAATAAAGACTTTCGACCCTCTTCAGTATACTTAGATCCCAATCCACACCAATATGATATCAAAGGTGCACGAGAAAAAACTCTGTTCGAATGATTTGTATACAATTCGACGATGTCCGTAGCCTTATAACGGGGTCGTTTCTTGTCAAACTTATCTGGTAAAGCGAGACCTGCAGCTACTATTGCGCCAGTTGATGTTCCAGCCATCATATGAAACATTGATGAGCTAACTAAATTTGTTCTTCGTTCTAATTCACTCATCCATACAGCTGGTATTAAACCTCTTATACCTCCTCCATCAATGGAAAGAACATTAAATTGTTCAAACTTACGTTCAACATGATTTAGACTCATTTTTTTGTAAATTTTCATTCGTTTATCAATGGTTTCATTCTTTAACTTTTCTACAAAAGCTAGTTCTTTCTGTGCATCAATATAATTGTTTTTCAAACTGAGAGCTTTTTTCAACGATTTAATAGCTTCATCGTAATCATGTAACTTACGTTTCAGAAGACCTAAAAGAAACCATCTTTCTGATGAATCACGATAATACGTTCTTTTTTCAAGATCTTTTTTCAAAACTTCCTCGGCTTTTTTGTATTTATTTAACATAATTAAGCAAGTAGCATAACCCAAAAGTGCTGCTAAGTGATTGCGATTAAGACTTAATACTTCAAAATAAATTTTCTTTGCATGATCCCATTTTCGTAATGCATCTAAATGATGAGTTTTATCAATTTTTTCGGCTTGACGACGATGGTAAAGGGCTATTTGATTTAATAAATCAGCCTTGACATTTCCGCCCTTCGCTAACTCTAACTGATAATAAATATATTTCAAGGAAACATCGCTATCCGCGAATATGGCCTTTACGGGTTGAATACTCTCGGTATCGCTCATTTCTTCGGTGACTGCATAAACTGAAGTCTTCACTGAACTTTTCGATTTATCAATTATTTCTTTTGTGACTACAAATATATCACCATGATCCGGATGAGATCTGATAGTACATGGTACAAAAACTATACTGTACAAGAAAGATAAAACTGGAAGATATAGAAAGTTTAATGAATATTTTCCTAATAAAAATGATTCTTTCCATTCATTGATACTTGGAAAATTTTCTTTTTTTATTATTTCTTTCATCAATGATGTCAATGGTTCAATACTTCTATTATAATTATTACAAACGTTTTCAACAAATTTCTTTTTATTCAATCTCAGAACGTTTCCCAAAACTCTATCTAATAAAACAAATTCATCTTTTTCATCTTGATTATCATCATCCAACGTTATTGGTTCACAATACGAAACCATCTCATTATTCATTAATATTCTGTCAATGCGTTTTATGCGAACGTCACTTGCTAATCGAAAGAATTTCTGACTAAGGAAATCTAATTCGTTTTTGTCTAATGGTTTGTGGTCAGTGTAACCAAATACACCGAAAATATCTGTTAATGCTTGTAGACGAATTTCAGTCACAGTACACATTTTCTCTTGCTGAAATGTTTTTCTTAATCCTCTTTTCAGCTCTTTAATCATTTTGACACTTAGTTCTAAGTTCTCTTTTCCTCCCATTATTATCAATGCAATGGCATAATTAACTTGAGCAACAAATCTCAAATAATCTAAACGATCACTACTATTAGAAACAATTAATCTTTCTTTGATGTACACAGTTGACACAGGATATATATAACTCGATGCTGTTTTTTGATAATCTTCTATATAACTTTCACTTTGAGCTGACAATTGTGATACGATTCTATTATCGTAACTGTTTGCTCGTTCAGTCAAATATGAATTATTCAAGACTTCTCGAAATAGTTTGCATGCACAATCAATAAAATCAGCGTACTTTGGTACTTGTACCGATACCTTTGGTGATAGATGATCTTTCGGTGTTATTTTGGGTGCCATGAGGAAAACTTCACCAAGTAAAATGAGAAAATTAGCAATACCTTCAGCTGAAAAACTGGAGCGTGAAAGCTCATGCACAATTACACTAGGTCGGACATCTAATATAATTATACAAGTACTACCGTGACATTCTTGTTTAATTCCTAGCAATATTTTGTTTTTAAAATATCTTTTGGTAAGACAAGAAAGAAAGTCATTGTATTGTCGCTTAGTATAGTAACCTAACGCTTCTCTTAAAATATCGTTTATACTTCCATGCACTTTAGGATTCTGAGTAGTACTAGATTGTTTTTTACTATAAAAGTTGTTCTCAAAGAAAATATCGCCAATTAAATATGAAATACCAATTCCAATGCTGCTAGACGTATCAATCCTTTTTATACCTAGTTGATTTTCTTGTTCATCTGTAAATGCAGGTGTGTTTGTAATAGTGAATCGCAAATCAGACGACAGGGCATCTCGGAATTGTTCCAATTTAATGGAACCGCGTGTAAAATCCGTTGTAGTTTTATTTAACCTGAATTCGTGACTCGTACTTTCGGTAACACCAACTGTAGATATTGAATATCTCACTTCTGAATAATTAGTCGATCGAAGAATGCTTTCGAATTGCTTGAAATCCTCTCGACATCGATGATTTTCGCCTTCTTTGCTAATCAGATAAATACCAACAATAGCATAAATTTGAGTTTCAAATGTTAGATTAGGTTCAAGGAGTTGAAGTGAAAGACTCATACACCTTTTCAATTCTACTTGCTTAAGAATAGATCCTTTATTAGATTCTGTTTCGAGTTCTTTTGATGCAGCTCTGTAGTATCTGTATGCACTAACTGCATTTTGTGTACGATTTCTTGCGTCTGAATTCTTATAAGCCTTATCCAAATGCTCTTTACCAGCTAGTTTATGTTTTTCAACTAAATTAACTCGATCTACACGATTATTATTCAACTCTTTTGATTGTTTTCTTAGGTCATCACCGATCAACTCAAAAATTTCTATGAACATCATTTGTTGTTGTGGTTCACATCTCTTTGGATGAAATAGAAAAGACAATTTGCTACAGTGTATTCGAGTGTGTTCTTGTGACAACGGAATATCAGCGAATAAAATAGAACGAATCTTTGACTTATCCGAAAGAACGAAGTTGACAAAATCTACCTTTAGTTGATATTGTAAACATATTAAATGAAAAGAAAGATCAGTTAAAACAGGCAAATCCAAGTTATTCGTCATGCCAATGGTTTCTTTAGAGTTCTCTAATATTTGAATTTGAAGAGAATCTAAACTAACCTTTATTCTTGAATATTGTAAATCGATATTGATGTATTCATCCAATGAATTCACAGGTAACCGGATCAGTTCAGTAATTTCTGAATATAATTGCTTATAGAAACCCTTTTGTTCTTCGTTGCAACGTACCGACTTAAACCTCTCGAGACAAGCTTGAATATCAGCTTTGATTGATTCATCAGGTAGAATATTATGGCCAATGGGTTCTCGTTTTCTGACTTGTGATGGTTCAGGATTTCTTCGTTGTTGCGAGCTAGAAAACTTTTCTTCTATTCGATTTTCTTCATTTCTCAATTCATTCACATTCCCAGTAGCTCTAAAGTAGCTAATCCTTTTCATATGCAACAGTTGACTATATTCATTGGACTGGTTTCCAATTGATGATTTCAATCGAGCCAATATTTGTGGTACATTGTCTCTGTTGTTCATAATAGCATCATCAACCTCTTGAAACTGTTGATTAATTGTGTCATCATCCATCAGTATTGCCGATCAATAAAAAATCTACTCAAGTATCTGAAAAAAATGTATCCAGAGAACTACTAGTATTTATTCAGAGAGGAGGCGTGGTGGCGGTTTCTCTGACTTTCGGTTGCAGTTTTGCAGAAATATGGGAATCCTAAGAGGATTGCAGTGGCGGCGGAGTCTGTAGATTCACGAGGCTTGAGCCTATCCTAATTTGATATAGGGCAGGCTTGGGTAGGCTCAAACTGAGAGTGTGAGTGTCATTCTTGCTGTTATCCACATCCACACCCACCCTACTTCTCTTCGAGCTGTTACGGTCCTATCTTGTCATACCTGTTTTGTATCACAGGAAGGAAAACAATTGCGTGATGAATCATATACAGAAAGCAGAGATGGGCAAGTCAGCCTTTTTTCCGACTCAAGTCAAGTCAAGTCTTTTTTTGAAAATTTCAAGTCAAGTCAAGTCAAGTCATGACTTGTTCAACATACTTTCAAGTCAAGTCAAGTCATTTTTTGAGAATTTCAAGTCAAGTCAAGTCAAGTCATAGTTCAGTCCAAGAAAATTCCAAGTCAAGTCAAGTCAAGTCAAAAATGACTTGACTTGCCCATCTCTGACAGAAAGCAACACCTAGAACTTACAAGTGAAAAGATAGGGCCGTAACAACTCGAAGAGAAGTAGTTACTGTGAATTCAAATACATCATTGTGAAGAGAATTTAATTCTCTACAACCATGCTTACTCCAAAAATACTTTTGAGCTTATTTTGTGCCTGAAAAATTACGATTAATGCAGCATCAATGCAAAACACTGATAGTTATTAGCAATTCTTTTTTGATTTGTTCTATAAATTTAGCAAGTGGAGAATGTCAATCGACGCAGTTTTTCTTTCTCTATCTAATGATATATTTTGAGTCAAGTTTCCCAAAAATCTATAGTTTTCTAGAAAACCGATGGGGACTCAGGTATTTTGAATTTTAAACGATACCACCGTGTAGAAAACAATTTTCTCTATCGAATGAGCTATTTTTTAAAATAGTTTGCTTCAAAATTAATGTTCTAGCACAGGAATATTACAAGTGTCCAAATAAAATTTTTGCACATGAAATTAAGGGGTTTGTTTAAAACCCTTCAAAATTCGTAAAACGCGGATTGAAAGAGAAACGTTCTACGTGTAGAATAAAGTAGAGATTCTGCGCTATCGAATGGTGTAATGGAAGTCAAGAAAATGTTTCTCCTTAACTGTGAAATTTACTTTACAAAAGAGATGTCGTAAGTGTCCAAATAATTTTTTTACATACTGTATATGCGATGAATGTAAACTAATTTTACAACGATTGATTCGAGCTGCGACAGCGCACACAAAAAATTGCCATGAAAGAATTCCTACTATTGTGAAGAAATGAGGGAAAAAGACATCAATTTCGAATTGTTTATGGTTGTTTTCATCGTGAAACTGATATGTCAAGAAATAATTGTTTTCGTTCGATCAACGGCAATTTCAACTAGTTGTGCAACGGTTGTATCAGCTTTTGAAAGTGCACATAAACACATAATACGAAAAAGAAATTTTCCCTACTACAACGAAATGAAGGCTGTTTTTATGGAAGCTGATGGTTTGGGTGCGGAGTGTGTAATGTAGGTGTGATTCGCTAGCCTCGAAACATACCCACACCCTCAAGATATTGATGAAGTGTTGAAAATGCCAAATAGACTTGTCGTATGAAACACATTTTTATTATTATTATTTTATTAAAAATTACAATAGAAAAAAATAATAACATTATAGCATATTTATTTAAATACTATTGATGTTTACATCTTTTCATTCATCCATGGGTTCATATACAAGACAATTATTGCCAAATGAAAGACATTGTGAAATTAAAAAAATAATACGAAAAAGAAAAATATTGCATTTTTGATTTTGTCATCAATATTCTTTTTAAAAAAGTAATGGTGATGTTTCATCTGCAGTAGGCTTTGGAAATGCAGGACCCGATGTATTGGTCTGTGAACACATATAATAAAAACAATATGAAAAAATGAAAGATAAATTTTTAAATAACATACTCTATATCGACTAAATGCTATTAAACCAAGTACAATAACAAATAAAGCAATACCAATGCTGAGTATAAGATATTTCATAACGTGAAGTGCCGTAATTGGCACAGTTACTTTTTTACGAAATTTATCTGCATTCAGTTTATCGATTTCAGCATGCTAAAATATAATAAATAAATAAATCATTTAATGTTTTCAATATCGTCGAACTGACTTCATCAATCCATATCATTGGATAAACAAGTGGACGTATACGAGAAATTGCACTAGAATAATTCGATAATTGTTTTCATTAAATATTAATCTTTATAGATACGTACCTTATAGCTGAATCATTAATAACATTTAAATTGACTTGAAGTCGTCGTGATCCATTCATGACAACTAATATTTAATTAAAATAAAATAAAATAAATATTATTTTCTATTAATCTCTTTTAAACTATCGACTACTAACTGCCTGTAAGTGGTTCTATATCGACAAAACTACGATGTGCGATATCATCAGGTTCTAATCCATAAACAGCATTTTGTACAGCAGGATCAGCTGCCAGAAAATGTGGACTTGATCCAATAATAGGTAATGGTATTGATATCATACTCTCAGGAACTAAATAGATATGTAAGAAAAACAATTAAAAATAAATAGTTGAACTGCTTAGAATAAATTTCCTTACAACGTATACATGTTTTCAATGAAAATAGACCACTTGGCAAACATTCAACTTCATTCGTTTTATTAGCAATTGTAGAATTCAAACAGAAACCTTCGTTGTCTGTTGAATTTGAAAATACACTATTTGGTAATGTATAATGATAAGTTTCAATATTAAAGTTATTCGTGCGTGTTTCATTGTAATCAAGATAAACTGATCGACAAATATCCGCAATAAATGAATAAATACGTTCATTTTTACGTGTAGACGGATGCCACAATGTACTATCTGTTCCATTAATCATATTTGCATATTCATTCGACCAGTATGACAATTTTGATTCAAAATTAAATCGTTCAACTAGACCAACTTCATTAATACGGTCATTAAAATTTGCATCACGACCAACACCATTATTCACCAAATAGATGTTTGATCCGGCTCCACTGACCTGAAATAGAGCAATAGCTTAGTCAGCTACTGCTATCATGATTTTGCTCTCGTCTCGGAGTCCATAATTTTTGATCATAACGTTTCTCAAATTAACACAAAAATAAGCCTCACTATTCTTTATCTCTCGTCTTTATCTAGACGTCCTAAAATAGCACAGGTGTATTTGATAAGGCTTTTCTACATGTTTTTAGCGCGTCTTTAAATAATTCTATTTAATCTTCTTGATCTAACAAATTAAATACTCATATAATAAAAGACTTCTAAATTACCGATGCATCAAAAACCGATACACGATCATCCGAGATAATATCTGGAAATTCAGTTTTAAGAATACGTAATAATGGATCTGTATAACCCCAAAGAAGTTCTTGCACAGTATGTTGCATAATTGGTTTCTCTTGAACTGATAGTAATTCTCCAACTATACGTCGAAATATAGACGGAACATGTTCCATTTGAAGATAGTTCACTAATATCTATGAATGGATTATATTAGCAAAATGCTCAATAGACAATATTTTATTTTACCATATACACAAGATTTATTGTTGTTACATTTATTGTATCAGGTTCTGCTGATCGTGCTGCATCAAATGTATACGTACGTGGTTCTTGATAGGAAATTGTTTCATTTTCATATTCTTCTAAATTTATTTTTGTTCGTACTTCCCTTAAGAGAAGAGAATCATATAAATTTTCTATCAATAGAGACTGTCATCAAGCTCACTTATAGACAAACGGACCTCGCTGTTTAAGGCTTGGTTTCGATGTACCATTGAGAAACTCTGTATTTTGAAGATCAAATACATAAATTGATATATAATATGGCACAGGAGAATCCCGCCAATTACTGTAAATAATTGTTCCCGGTTTCAATTGGCATTCCTTCGCAATTTAAAAGATAGAATTAGATTTAAAAAACAAGAAGAATTATTTTATACATTATTAACAATCTTTTTAATAAGTGAATCACCAAACGCAATTAGTAAGCAACCACCAACCACAAATCCAATACTAACGATAGTCAATATAATAGATGCACAACGAATTCGATCAACCATTGTGTCTCAACAAATGATCGATATTAATCTACAAGTGCAGTTCATTCGATGATAAATAAATGTAGAGAATTACCAGAGAAGAAAATAAAAGACAAGCAAAGTAACACGCACACTCGTATTAAAAAGAAAACAAATTGCACTAGCAGATAAGTTCACAATGGAAAGAAAACGAAGCAAAAGAATCAGACATGACTAATTGGAATTATTGTTTTAAATAAATGCTAAAATCATAATCATTCTTTTTTTTTATCGTGGACATATTTGATTCAATCGTTGTACGCAACGTTCAATGCCTTGATCTTCATAATCACGTCGAGATATCCATTGAGCTGGCGTGTCTTTAACTAAATTAGCGTAAACAGCACCACCTAAAAACACCATATTCTTTCTGCGTGGCGGAGCTTCAATACAAATAACATTCTTAGCCGATTTATCGGATTGTCCTTTGAGAATTCGTTCTTCATAAAGTTTTTCTAATTCACGTTCGAGACGCGTACCAAATCCTGGATACATTGTTGTGCCGCCGCTAAGTACAATTTGTTTGTAGAGTTTACGTCGATCATCCATAGGTGCACTATTTATGACTTTGAATACTTGTTCGGCAACACCTTTCACTTCTAAACCTAATAACGATGGGCGAAAGAGCACTTCAGGGGCTTCGAATCTTTCGCCAGATAATTTTATTGTTCGACCATCGGGTAATGTATAACTTTCAACTAGAACTGTTGTATCCAATGCTAACTGGCGTTCTTGATCAAGATCATGTGCAACGTAGCAAAGTTTTTCTTTGATTTGTTGAACAGTATCAAAATCAGCCGATTGATTGAATACATACTGAAAAAAAAATTATTTTATGATTTTTACTATTGCATGTGACTCGATATCAATTCAATATTTCATACACACTCTTATTCAAGCTACCCTTGGGATTCCGGAATTTCATCGACTATCACGAAATAACATTAACACAGGATATATACGCAAGTACTAAAGAAACTCATCAGTCAAGTAGACAGAAACTTTTTTACGTGCATTTTATCCACTCAAAAGGTTAAACAAAAGTAACACATCAGTCTCTATTTATAGAACTGTGCGAATCTCCAGCGTCATACTAGAAAGAAATCTATTTACCCCACGTAGAAGTAATAAGCGAATTAAATATCTTGTTATGTCTCGTCCAGCAATATTAAGTCGGGCAATTGAATTTTGCAAACAAAATCCATCAATAACTGGACAAATATGTGTTACACCATCACCAATATCAACCACAACACCAGTTAAAATTCCTTGAGCATACAATGTTAATATAGCTTGATAGGCCAGTGAACATTCATGAAATTGAAATTGTTCAAGCATAACTTCTAACATTTTTGCACGATTTTTAACTGGATTAAGTGGTGCTTCTGTTAGTAAAATTTTAGCATCACTAGGATTAATATTCATCTTTTTGGGACCAAATAAATATGTATAGACATGTTTCATATCATCCCAATTATTAACAATACCATTTTCAACAGGATAATTGATTTCAAGCATTTGTCGAACTTTTTGTGCTAGAAGAAAAAATAGGATAAAATAAAAGTGTCAACTGTATTTCGACTGACATACCTTCATCACCAACCATTATGTCTTGAACTTCAATATTATTAACTTTTGCACGAGAACGAATCAACGGTCGACCAACCATACATGGAAAATGAAAATCAGGAAAATTCGAAGTACAATAGCCACATTTAATGTACTGTAAAACAACGAGAAAAAACGTTTATCGAACATGTATTTGATTGAAAATACTCGACTACTTACGCCTGTACCATTATCGCATACGATAACTTTTCTACCTGCTGAATCCATTCTCAAAATGTTTAACAAAACGAAAAAAAAGACGAGATATGAAAGAAGATATTCGTGAATCAAACTTTATCTTTATCTAATGGAATATTTCACTGACCAATCATAGACGAAATGTACATATGTCGCTCGTATATGCATACAATTATGAATAGAACGACGCAAGAAAAAAATAGAGTGTCCATGAACTTAAACTAACGTAAGCTTTTTTTTCTCTTGGCAAAAATAATAAGATTAATATTATCATATTGAAAACATAGTAATAATAGTAAAACAACGATAGAGAAACAACGAAATTCTCTAAAGGCAACAAAAACCAGCATTCTTTATCCACGTCATTCATTCTGTGTTGTGTTATTTTTTTATCTTTATAGTATATTACTTTATGAAAAACGCAATTGATAGGAGTTGTTTAGTCATTTTCATTATAATCGGTACTATTAATGCCATATTTGTACCACAAGGTATTACAGAATATCCTAAAAATCCAATATGGCCTAATTATTTAGCAGATCCATTTACATTTGAATTCAATGGAACTTATTATATGATCGGTACTGGTGTTGTTTTGAGTGAAAATAAAACTACTTTTCCATCGCTTAGATCTGATGATCTAATTGAATGGACATATTCTGGTGATATTCTAAATGTGATAGAACAGCCCGATCAACCTTTTTCATATTGGGCACCTGAAATAGCTGAAAAAGATAATATTTTCTATTTATTTTATTCCGTTGGATTTGACGATAAACAACATCGTTTACGTGTTGTATCATCGAGTTCACCACTGGGTCCCTACTATGATAGTCAATCGATAGAATTAACTAATGTAACACAACTTTCATTTGCTATTGATCCTCATCCATTTCAAGATCAAAAAGATGGCCAATGGTATCTATTTTATAGTCGAGATTTTCTTGATAAAAATAATAATTATCGTGTTGGAACAGGTATTGTAGTTGATCGTCTTATTAATAATATGACTCGATTAGCTGGTAATGAAAGTATTGTTTTACGCGCACAACATGATTGGCAACTTTACGAACGTAATCGATCTATGTACCATGACATCTATGACTGGTATACGTTGGAAGGTGCAGCGACTTGGCAACAAGAATCAGGAGTATATATATGTTTCTATAGTGGTGGCAATTGGCAAAATACATCGTATGGTGTTGATTATGGGATTGCTTATTCGTCGCCTATGGGACCGTATACAGAAGATTCAACTAATCAAGCTCGAATTACACATTCAATAAAAGATATTATTATGGGACCGGGACATAACTCAATTATTGTTGGACTTGATAAGAAAACTACCTATCTTGTTTATCACGCATGGAACCAAGCAAAAACAATACGTTCACCATATATAAGTGAATTGAATTGGCGAACAATAGTACCAAATAATTCAAGTAGTGGACATGATCTTATTCATTTTATACTTCTGTTTCTTGTTTATCTTATAGTTATTCTCTTGATTTTTCATCATGCTTTATAGTTGATAAAATTTTCGTACGTGTTCAGAAAATCGTATTTCCGATTCAATTGCATATCAGACGGTGCGGAAAATGGAATAAAATATATGAGGACAAAGTCATCAAAAATTCAATATTTCTGAGAGAATGAACTAGAAAAGAAGAAGAAGAAGAAGAAGAAGAAGGAAAAAAAAACAACCCGAGATATATCTGTTAAACTGTTAAGCCAAAGTTATGTCTAGAAAAAAGAGACACGAAAGAATCTAAGTGGAATTGATCGGAGAAAGAACGATGAAGTAATGAAATTGGTGATGAACGTGCATGCCGCTAACGTTAGTGGAGATTTCTTCAATCAAGAGGTTGGCCCGTCAGCACTAATCGACTCATTCTTTTGTTTCAAATATGCGAGTCGACTGACGAAGACTCACTTCATTCGTACGCTACGGTCGGACCCTCAACTAGTACCACTCAATGCAAACTGAATTCTCTCTCTCTCTCTGTCTGTCTTGTTTATCAATGCAGCAAAAAGAGAGACACATAGAAAAGGAAAATAGAGTGAGAAAAAGAATGCTAAACAAGTGAGCTATTTCCTCTCTTTACAATTTATAACGCCTAAGTACAAAAGGAAAAAAAGTAGCAGAGAACATGATGTCGGCTCTGTTGATGATGATGATGATGACGACTAGAACGAAAAAAGCTAAACAGAACAGCAAAGAGATGTGCCATTACTATGATCGATTCTGTTAACAACAGATCATGACGATCCGGTCGGTTGTGTTATGTTGTTAACAAAGCAGAATTGATGATGATGGATCTTCATTCAGATTGGATCAATCAGATAAAAGAAGAAAAATACAAAGATTCAACATCATTGCTCTAGCACAGATTATAAGCATGTTAGGTAAGTCTCTATACCCATATATTAATTTTGCATGTTAAGTAAATGTGAACATGTCATTTACATACACGCTAATCTCACAAGACTATTTGACAGACACTGATTACGAAAAAGAAAAGTGGATGCAGCACGATCATTCATTTATGTCAATGGCAAGATTCTTCTATGTTTAGATCCTTAAGAATATAAAAAATTCTCGATATGAATGACTCTATTTCTTTTTTTTTTGTGTGTATCTGGATTTGGGCTTATAATCATTAGAGCAGTCGACAGATGGAAGCAAAAAAAAGGAAAAACAGCATGCATAGATTGTTTCAAGAATAACAGGAGACATGAAAAAAAATTAGAAAGAGAATCCTTCTCAAGGTTTCCTTGAGTGGATTACTCAACTGCTTCGATCGTCACGAGAAGTTTTGGTGTTAGAAAAGAAAACAATTTCGTTTTTTCTTCTTCTTATTCTTCTTTATGCCCTATCTAGAAACCACAATCAATATGAACAAAGATACGGACGGTTATTTTATTCAAAGGTTCTCAAGTTCGCCATACCATCGTCAATATTATTCATCGATTATGAACGACATTCAACCGCGTCGTAATAGCTATCAAATTGCTATCAACACATCAAAACATGATCATATCCATATGAATAATCGTATACAGATGATTTCATCGTCATCCTCAGGGTCATCTATAAATGGTCATGTTCATACAACCCGATCGCTCTATGCCGCTCATGGTACATATGCAAATTGTAAAAATGATCATTTACAACGCAGTATAAGTCAACCAGCCGTTCGTTCGCCTGATAGTGATTGTCTATTAGAAAATGCTACATTTCTACTCGGTTCACCCGTACATGCACTTCGACCAGCACATTCCAAATCGCGTACAACATTACCATCAACAAATCCAGTATCGACACGAAGTTCTATCGCTGAACCTGAATCTGTCGACGATAGTAATGATTGTTCAAATACATCATCCATGTCGAAAATATCTATCTATCGTATGGTTATTATTCGATCGTTTGCATCCCTGTTCGCGCTTGCTAGTCTTTTTCCAACTGAAGTTTTACAAACATCTATACACTCGAATGAACTTAGTTTTCAATCGCTATTAACATTTCATTTATGTGCCTTAGTTGGAGCGTTTGTTTTAGCTGCACATGCATCACGCATACATCTAGTTCGATACCGTTGGACAATATCGAATGTATTGGCCTACGATCGTTTTTCACAGATATTAATTGTTATTGCAACGATATTTACTGGTGCATGGGTAGTCATGCAATATTTTCAGTCATACTATCGTTTATTACTTTTGAGTGCCGGCATAAGCGGGATTAGTTACAGTTGTATGATAATAAAATCCTTCGATCATATATTACAATTGTCAACGTCACTACCTATTCAAAGCATTAAAAATTTAACAATGCGACTTAATATATTTGCATTTATCTACAATTCTCTATGTCATTTAGCATTAACTATTGGCGGCATTTTTCTATTTGCTATTATTCTAGTTCAACAATATCGACGTGAATATATTTTAATTGGTTCACAGCCATGTCTTGTTATTCCATGTTTACAATTCAATGATTCACAAGATGAAAATGATCAAATACTAAGACTACCACCACCGCCAACCATAGTTAGTTTAACGCTACATTTGAACGAGAAAAAACAAGGTACATTCGTTTTTATTTGTAATCATATTGGACTAATTTAGTTAATTTGTTTTTTCTTCGATCTTTCTAGAATGGCAAAATGAACCGTCACGTTATATATTTTTTGTCAGTCTACTTATATTAACAATAATTAGTTTATTACCACAAGCTGGTGCTGAATGGACAACGTCAATATTAAGTATGAGTAGACGTATGTCAATATTATATTATTCAAATGAAAGTGCACAAATGAATATAACAACATCATCGAAAAGACTTGTTCGTTATCGTCATTATTTATTTGCACTATTTATTGGTTTTCAAGAAGGTTATCTTTTTGGTAATATTACAAAAGTAAGAAACAAAAAGAAAGAAACCATTATGATCATTGATGGTGTTTATTTATATTAGTTTGATGTCACATGTCTTTTTGGTCTTCGACATACAGTGGAAATGATGATTATCTATGGATTAGGTGGAACGATATCCAGTACAATATTAGCTTTTGTAACTAAACACATTTCTATTATGGTAAATAAAATAGACGAAAGAAAAATTAATGTGAAATAAAAAAAATGTTTTCTTTAGAGTTCTGTATCATTTACCACACTTTTACATTTTTTAACCATGGGATTTTTATATTACACTCGAACATCGAGTCTACATGGAATATCAACATTGAATATGAAACATATGTCATTTTTTTTCTTCGGAATTGTGCTTGGCCTTTGGACAACAATTGCCATTCGTAAGTACTTGAAAGAAATTCAACTACTACTACTACTATCAATGATAATCATATATATATATCTATCTATCTATATCTAGATTGCCTATGTAATGCTACTAAATTTTCTTCGTCATCTAAATTTGCTCAATCACTTGCCATGCGTTCTGTGGGCCGTATAATCGCTTATGCTTGTACATTACTCTTATGCCAATTATCATTTTTCATTATCAATCTCATTTGTCTATTACTTGTTGTCATTTTTATACTTATATGCTATTGCTGTTGTCATGAAAAGGAATAATAATAATAAAAGAGTCATTTTGTTTTGCATTGAATCGCTTTAGGAAGGATATACTTTTCCATGACAGTTCCGTTTATATATCTATACAGCAACGAATATAGAGAGAATATATTTTATATGAAAAAGACAATAAAATAGGAGAAAAAAAAGGCAACTATCGATACTTTACGAGCCATAATATAACCAAAATAAAGAAGAAAAAAGAAGCTTCTCAAGGATATATGACTGAAAATCTGCTAAACAAGAATGATGTTAAATAAAAATAGAACATAGATGGAATGTTCCTATTGAACTTTCTTTCCTAACTATGAAATATCTTATATAGCAGAGAAAACTGAACTAGACCACCATATTAAGGAGAAACAAAAGAGCTCGAACCCTGAGCAAAATATTTTCACTACTATATATAAATTTTCAAAATAAAAAAAAAACGAAAAGGAAACAATATGCAAACGCACACATAATATAAAATGAATGGGAATATAATGCTAGCTTTTCCCCTACGAATTTCTGTTGTTGAAACTTTCAGCTGCACTATTTCTTAAAGTATTATTGCCGCTATCAGGAGTCTCTGTTGAACTTTCATTCGCTGATTCAGATGTTAAATCATCATCGAACACTTCGGGATAAGTTTTTGTTGTTGGTAAAGATTTTTTCTTGAACAGAGCAGGAGAATTAAGTGTTGTCGTTGGGCTAAAAATGATGAAATATATATATATATATATATTGAATAGAGTCAATTGAATAAATAAGCATGCAGAGCTTTAAATAAATTCATTTATTATGTAATTTTTGAGTTATGGTGACTTTAGCTTATTGCTCTAGTCGAGTACAAAGTATGCTGTTGACAAGCCTATACTACTGCTTCAAATATCAAGTGGTCTGAAGGTAACTTGTCGTCACCGGAAATCTCTGGTGGAAAACAAATTTATAGGAAAATTAAAATGTTTGTGAGCCTCTGTGACATGTAGGCGCGATATCTAATAGACTAGGGAAAAGCCGGTAGATTTTATTCATCAGATAAATTATAAACAACTTGAAGGCAATTAGAGCTTTTAGTTTATTAGTGTAGAGATTTAGGTAAAGAAAATTCTTAGCGAGCAGCAGTCTTTTACAAAAGCATATTTTTGTCATAGCTATGTGTTCGAATAGGAATGATGATAAGCGCTAAAATATTCATAGAAAAAAACTTCCCTCATTACGATTTGTTTATATACAAAGTCACAAAATCAAAATTGAAAATTCCTTTCTTTTATCCTGTTGTTCTCGAGGTTAACTAAATAGTGGCGTTCAATTAAAATATTATTTTCCCATTCAAAACCGATTTATCATTACGAGGAAGTTCTCGATGTATATATAAAGAATAAATTATTCAACATGCTTTTAGGGTAATCAACAAATATTATTATTCATGAAAATATGAATATAATAATGCAAGAGAAATGGTGTACATTTATCAAAGGAGACAGCAGTGACAAAGCAAAACAAGTGATGTTATGTAGAATACCTCAACACTTTCATCAATGCTCATGATGGTAGAACCTCGATGCGTTAATGAATCAGCTATAGACGATGCTCTTCTGATAGAATGTTAGTTCATGAAGAGAAAAAGTATATATATATATATATATATATATTTAAATATTGAATTAGAGCTAGATTAAAATTAATCAATATCTATAGATTAGTTGCTTACCGACTTCTTGAATATGACGTTTCTTCAATTTCATCTTTTTCTCGTTGAGCTTTACGCAAACGTTGTTTTGTTTGTGATAAATCTTCTTGTAATTCGTCTACTGTACGTTTCATTTTACGTAGACGCACATCAGCTTTTTCAAACTCGAAAAAGAAAGAAAGAATAAAATTCATTGCCAAAATTAATTTTACTTACTTCTTCTTTATAATAATTTCCGGTTTTTTGTGTTTCTTCGGCAATAGCCGATGCTTCACGTAGTCGTTTTTCAAGTAAGCGTAGATTTCGAGACGCTTTTTGTCTTTCTCTGAAATATCGAAAGTAAATCAATGTCATCGTTTTCTTTTTCTTTCAACGATTTTAAATAACATACCGAACTTCATTATCAAGTTGTTCTTCATACGCATGAATCTTAACTTCATATCCAGCCACTTTTGCTTTTGCTTGTTCGATTGTAGATCCATCATAAGTCTCAAGTTTTTCACGTAAATCTCGAATTTGACGTTCAAAATTGCTACGCATCATCTATTTACGAAACACTCTAGTTTAACATTTTCTTATTATGAAATATTTACTTCAAGCTGTGTATTTTTCTCTTTCTCGGCATTGCATTCGAGCATAGCTTGTTCATAGTTCGTGGCGAATCTTTTTAATTTTTCATTATTCATTTCTGAATTGATTTGTTCTTCTTCGAATTCTCCTTCAAGTTCATTGATACGTAATTCCAATCGACGTTTCTCATCGATAAGAGTATTGCTAAATAGCAAGAGAGAAGTTTTCGAAAACACAAAAAAACACTGGATCAAGAAAAATCTACCAATCTCGGCCAATATTCAAAATTTCTTCATGAAGTTCATCACGTTCTGTTTGAATTTGACGAAATTGCCGTTCAAGATTATCTTTATCTTCTGATAATTGTTCAATAGCTTGTTCGTATGCTTTTAATTTTGTTTGCCATTCTTTAACGGCCTGATTTGATACAGTATCTAGAGGCTTAGATTCTTCTAATTGGCGTGTTAAATCGCGAATTTGAATCTAAATTCAATCGAATAATTTTCATATTAAGACTAACATTTGCTTTACTTGTAAACGTCGACTATTACGCATGGTTTCTTCTTTTGACCTATTTGCTTCTTCGATTTGCTGATACGCATTTTGAAGATCCGTTTCAAGTTTTTTACGCTGTTGAATTATTTGTTGTTTTGATTTTTGTTCTTCTTGAACGTCGGATTCATAGTCTTTTAATCGTTGATTTGTTGAACGTTTAATATTATCAATTTCATTATTACAATCCAGTGTTACTTTCTCCATGGATTGTTTCAACGCGCCGATATTTACTTCAAGTCGTAAACGAGCATCTTCAGACGTTTGCAGCTCATCTTCAAGTTCGGTTATTTGATGTTTCTGGTCGTCAAACATCAATTCTAAAAACAGAAGGATTTATCACTTGAGTAAAGTACCAATGAGAAATCATCTCGTCGTATTTTGTTTTCTTACCGTAATTTCGTTTGACAGTTTCTAATTCTTGAATATATCTGCCAACATCATCTGTGTTCTGACTTGCTTCACTGTCGATACGTAATTTTTTGAAACGCTTTTCTAAATCTTCATAAGCATAGTTTCGTTCGTTGAGCTCTTTCGATAGATTTAAACGTTGTGTTTCACTGTCCCGAAAGTCCTTTTCATTTTGATCACGTTCTTGACGCAGTTTTTCTTGTATTTTTTTCTCATCTTGAATACGTTTTTCAAACGAACGTTTCGTTTTATCAACATTTTGTATCATAGTATTATAACGTTCTAATTCAACATTAAGATCAGTAATATCATTTGTAAGTTTTTGATTGGATTTTGTTAGTTTCAAATTTAGTATTTTTTCATTGTCAAGGTCATCAACTAAAGCATCTTTTTCACGTTGAAATTGTCGACGAAGTTCTTCTGTATGTTCAATTTGTTCTGCTGCGCGACGTAATTCATTATTTTCTTGTGTTAATTGAATTGCTTTTGCTTTTATTTTACGATTTTCTTCTTCTTCATCATCTAGATGTTCTTTCAGTTCATTCATTGAATCTTCGATTTGACGAAGTTTAGATAGAGCGTTCATTTTTTGACGATTTTCATCTTGAAAACTGTCTTGTAAATCTTGATTATCTTGTTTGAGACTGTTTATAGTACGTTCATTGTTTTGTAAGCGTTGCTCAACTTCAATATAGGCTGCATTTAAAGATTCAATATTCAGTTGATAACCTTGTAATTTATCTAGAAGTTCAGTTTTAATTCTTTCGCTTTCACTATATTTATGTTGAAGATCTTGAGTTTGTGTTTCCAATTGTCGTCGTTTTCTTTCGATGTCTTGTTTTGAAACACTTAAATTTTTAACTTCATTTTCGCGATCTTTAATTTCATTTTTCAATGGTTGCAGATCTTTCGTAGATGCTTGCAATTGTTTTTTCGTATTTTCTAATGTTTTGGTTAATTCTTCGAGTTCTTTCGAATGTTTTGAACGTAGATCGGCAATCTTTTCTTCGTGATTTTTTCGTGTTTGATACAATTCATTTTTCATTGATGATAAATCTTCTTGAAGTTTTTTTTCTCGTTCAAGTATTTCTTGACTGACATCTGTTGAATCGAATATTTCATTGCGTAGCGAATTATTTTCTTCCATCAATGAACGTTTTTCAGATTCTAAACTTTTGCGTATTTCTCTTTCACTTGCAAAATTAGCTTGTAAAGTATCAAGTTCACTTTGACAATCGCGTATTTGCTTTTGAAAGTTTGCTTTTGTTGCAGCGTCACTTTCGGCCGTTGTTATAACCTTATTTAAATCTTCATTGCGTCGTTTTAATTGTGTGTCGAGATCTTTTATAGATTGTTTTAAGTCTTGTAGTTGACCACGAAGTTCTTGATTTTCAATTTCAAGTTCACGAATATCACGGTCACGTTTTTGACGAAGCTGAAAATAGAAAATTACTTTGACAAACAAACGTATGCTGAGATTATGGCGTTAATTATTCATGAAAATATGATTTGTAACTTGAAATCTCTCACGGTTAAGATAGTACCTATACAAGAAATAAGAATTCAAGTCAATCTGTGCGTAGAAAATCCTGTATGTTAGATTGATGTGTATATGTCTACCTCAATACCAGGGAATCTATGCGTCGGTACAAATAGTAGTCTATATACAAAGCCATATGCTGAGAAGATATCAATGAATTATTCATTAAGAAATATGGGTTGACCTCAACCGTTAAGATCATATCAATGGAGTCATAATCTTCTTTATGCTTCTCTACTTACAATCGATTCGATTCCCCGTAAATGCCTTGCCGAGTTCTTTGGGTAACACGCTCATTGATAAAAGATTAGGGAACAATAGAATAGATATATCAAGGCGTTTACAAATGAATAGTACTCAGCGATTGAATATTCTACCAGATGGAAAGTATTTCATTGGATAGAGAACATCTTTGACTAGTTTGAAAAGAAAATAGCCTACCTCAGCTTCACGATCGAATCGTTGTTGAAGATCATTACTTTGACTTTCTAATTTAGTTTTAATTTTGAGAAGATTTTTTAATTTTTCTTCTTCCTTCTGCCGGTCAACAACAATATCTTGAAATTTATCATAAAGAACAGTATGTTCTTTTTGTCCCTAAATAAACTCGTTTAGCTTTTTGTGTCAAAAATTAAATCAAAATGTTTACTTTCAAAAGTTCATTTTGTAGAGTAGCAACAAGATTTTCAAGATTTTTTATTTTTCCTTCTGACTGCATACGTTCAAGTTGTAATTTTTGTCGATTTTGTTCTTCATCTTCAAGGCTAAACATATTTTTAATAAAGTTTGCTTTTTTTTCGTAGCATAATCGTAATTATTCACCGCTTAGTTGTGTCTCGTAAATGCTGGTTGTATTCTCGTTGATCTTTATTTGATGTATTCAATTGATCAGCCGCTTCTTGTAAACGTTGCTCCATGTCTTGTAAAATACTCTCAAGTTCATCGTTTCGTTTTTGCATTCGATGTGATTTCTTTATAAAACAAAACAAAAATGATTAATTAAAAGAGTTGACTTTCAACTCATTATTTACCTCTTCGTATTCTCCTAAAACTTCATTGAAATGTATAAGACGATCATTAAGAACACTTCGCTCCTGTTGAACTAATTGTAGTTTTTCTTCCATTTCTTGTGCTTGTATTACACGTGATGCCATTTCTGTTTTTAATCGATTCATTTCTTCTTGTTTTTGTTTCAATTCTTCTTCTTGTCTTGTTACTTGTAATAATGGTTTTATTTTTGTAAATAAACGCCACCATTTCCAATTACGAATTTTCAATAGAGCACGACCATTACGTTGAATAACACGAATAGCATTTAGTTGTTGAATACGTCGTTGATAATTTCTTTAAAATAAATCATTTAGAAATAACAAACGATCTATTAGAATAATTTACTTTCGAGCAAGAGCACCACGACATAATGTTTGAAGTTGTGTCATTATGTCGGTTAATTTAAGATCACGTTCTTCTTCTAAATGACCAAGAACACCTGATCGAAAGAAGACTTTCGTAAGACCGATTCGATAAAGATTTTCATCTAGTTCAAGATCTTGAATCTAAACAAAAAAACTGGTTGCATTGCGATTCAATTTTGTTTCGAAATAATTTAACCATTCGTTTTGCTGCAGCTTTACCATCCATGAATTCTCTCGGTATGGCATTTGGACAAAGAATTTCGTAACTAAAAACGAACGAATTTCAATGCAATAATTAGGAAAAAGGTAGAAGATATTGAAATGGATTCTTACCGCTGACGAAATTCTTGAAATAGGATTCGATTTGGAAAGCCATTTCTACAGATACGAATACCTTCAAGTACCCCGTTACATCTTAATTGATCAAGTACGAGTGGTGAATGAATAGTACCAGGCTATATAAACAGCAATATGAAGTATTCCTAAGGTTTTCTCGTATTCATTTCTACTGACTTTCTTCTCGTGATTTGGTATAATACAGCGAACGAAATTTGGATTCGTATTTCTTAATGTAAACATTAATTTTGTTAATTGTTCTTTATAAAGTTGACCAACTGTTCTAAACATGCCTTTTTTAATAGTTGATTTCAAATTTAGTGTTACATCATTTTGATCTGTTACTGCTAAACCAACAATTTCCGCTAAACAGTAATAAACAAGAAATAAAAAATTATTTTATGCGGCTTAAAAAAATAAACAATGCTACACTTCAATCTTCTTCATGCTTAACTCACAATAATCAGGTATGAAAGAAAAGTTTCGAAGAAAAAGATGGGGCCTCATTTCCCAAACAGTAGCTTAATATAAAATGAGTTTCTATTGCCTTCAAAATAAACAATTCATTACTTACCATCTTTCCATATTTCACGTGTAAACTGATCGTTTGATGCTTGTAAAAGTGCAACAACGTTATCATTCAATGGATCCATATTTTTCATTAACCATTGATCAGTCGAATAATCAACTTTACCAGCATAATGAATTATGCTGAAATCAGATGGAGCTTTATAATTTGGTTTTCCTAGACAGACCCAAACATAGATTTTAAATTACACAATACACAATACTCAACCGAATTTCGGATGTTGACCATGAGTATTTATTATTTTTTCCAAATAGGTTCGATCAGTTGCCTTCGGAAACCAACATTCTTCATCTAGTAAACTTAAAATACCCATTTGCTATAAATAAAACAAATTTTAACTATAGATGTTATATGAACATAAAATTTACTGATGACTAGATAATAAATCAATAGAAGAAAACGAATCCTCTTTTGTTTCAGATATGCAAAGTTGCGGAAAATATCTGTTTCCAGTTTTCTTCGGAAAATTGAATGCTAATAGTTTGAGTTTTAATTTACTTTTTCAATAAGATCAATTGTTGGCTGAAGATCAAGACCGAAATCGATAAATGCCCAATCAATATTCTCTCGTCGATATTCTTCTTGTTCGAGAACAAACATTGTATGATTAAATAATTGTTGTAGCTTTTCATTTGTATAATTAATACATAATTGTTCAAAAGAATTTAATTGAAAAATTTCAAAACCAGCTATATCAAGAATTCCAATGAACGACGAGCCCTGCCGTTTACTTCGATCAAGAGATTTATTTATGCGTGTTACAATCCATTTGAACATTCGCTCATAGATCGCTTTCGAAAGTGCTTCGACGGCAAAATCAACCTAGAGAAAAATTCTCTTGCTATGAAATTTACTAAGTAATTCTAACTCTTACTTGAGCTTTTGTTTGTGCTTTCGTTACAAAATCTCGTCCAACATTAAGTTTCGGTTTTAAAAACGATCGTACAAAATCCGTCACCGATATTCCTAATAGATGACAAATTTTCTGTGCTACTGTATTATCTGGTAATGCTGCTTGATCGGTATCACGTTCTTGTTTAAATTGCATATTACCCATTTGTAAAACAGCTGATATTGTACGAAATATCGCATTCAATTCATCACTGGATATGTTCATGATTTGCATAGCTTTAATCGTATTTTGAAATTCTTCGGCATCATTTATACCCGATACTGTTAGATTACCATTTGTTAAATATCGATAGCGAGTAAAATCTTCTAGTAAATAATCGCTGATCATTCGTGTATCAGCACTGCGTAAGAATTGATAAAATATATGAAATGTTCGTTCATTTTTAGCTTGACGAATAGTACGTGATTTTTCTAATAGATATGTTTCAATGGATGCACCAGCAATGAAACCCGATGTATCAAAATTAATACGAATAAATTTACCAAAACGAGACGAATTATCATTTTTAACCGTTTTAGCATTACCAAAAGCTTAATAAACAAAAAAAAATAAATTCTCATTTTCAATGCATTCTTTCCAATACCCTCAAGAATTGGATTAGCTTGAAGAAGTTGAGCTTCAAGTTCGCCCTAAAAATGTTAAAACTTTAAAAAATTAAACAAAAATTTCTCTTTGCTGTCTACATACGCATACATCAGTGATTTTTGTACCTTGTTGCTAAAAACCAAACAAGATTTCTTATCAAAGCTATTAACAAGAAAACAATTGATAGGATGCCCTTGAAATTTACCTGATATTGATTAACACCACTGCCTGATGATCGTTGGGAACTTCGTGGTGCCGCCGCAATATAAGCTAAATATTGAATTACTTTTTTTGTATTCTCAGTTTTACCAGCACCAGATTCACCGCTGGAAAACAAAAGCTATGGAAATAACAGAAATCTTATTGATATTAACATACGTGCATAAAATCGATTGATCTTCGCGATTTTGTAACATTAAACGATACGCATCACTGGCAATGGCAAATATATGTGGTGGCATTTGTTCACGTTTTTTTCCTTTATACATTTCAATAACATTTTCAGAATAAATTGGTAAACGTCTATACGGATTAATAACGACACAAAATAAACCGGAATATGTATAAATCAATCCGGAATAATAACGCTCTTTTAAATTAAACAATACAGATGCATCATTTAAACAAGTTAATTCCGACATATCTTCCACTTTACTAAATTTTGGAGGATTAACACGTTGTGTATCATCTTTATGTATAAGGACACGTTTACCAGTTTCTAAATCAACTGTTAATTGACCGTCAGGTTGCTCTTGACGTATTTGACCATATATAAAGCCTTCTTGTTCATCGGGTATCCAAACAAGTTTTTTTGCTGCCCATTCATTGGCTATTTTTGCATCGGCTATCGTATCTCTTGGATTGGAATCGGTGGGACGTAAATATTTCATATCAGGTAGATCATAATTATTATCCATTGCATTACCAACCGATCTGTTTGTATTATTTGGAGGTGCAGGCATTTTGATTTATTGTTAAATAAAATAAAAGATCATCTAAAATAGAAAAATCTAGTTGTTATCTATCTATACATTGACTTTCATCAATTCTATCTATGGAAAGAATAGAGAGAAAGCAATGCAATATAGGTTCAAGTCGATGCAAGATAACGTACAAGTCTATTGTACGATTATGTCCTACGTTGTTGATATGCTCATTATGACAAGAGAAACTATCAGAAAAACACTCTTTCGATTGCATCATCTTTCAAACTGTAACTGTACTTGATAAATTTATGAAAATATAACGAATATTAAATGATCAAATGGTGTTAGGATGAAAAACAATATTACATAAGGATTTCTACTCATCTAATTTTGCTTTAAATGCTATCGTCTAAAGATTTGATGTTGTATGTGATGTTAGTATAATAGCGAGAAAAAAAACAACAACACCTATTATAACAATTTTTCTTTTTCTTCTTTTTCGTTTTTTTTTATCTCTACTCTGCAATGAAAGTCGAAAATGGCAGGGTTTTTTTGATTACAAGCACTTTTTTTTGACTGAATCATGCTTTTGTGTTTAGAATGAAGTACGGTGAAAGAAGATGATGAATCAGATAATGCGAATGCGCGCATATGAGTATGTTGAAAAATGGTAAGGTCTTCTTATCGATCTCGACATGCTTGGCAGCAAAAAGAGAAATCATCAGAAAGTGCAATAAGAATCATTTTAATAGAAACAAAGCCTTCGAAACTAAAACAAAAGACAGCGATGCTTATTTATTGATAATAGGTAAAGCTGTTGCTTTTTTTGAACGGAAACATTTGTAAATGTGCATGTTGATAAATTTCTACGCTTGTCTTTTTCTTGGCAAATACTCACACATTGAGTTTTCCTGTCGTCCATTCAATTAAATAGAACGTGAGCAAATCGAATATGACTAAGTGCATATAGCCGACGACTCTGTTGTTAGGTTTTATTTGATTTTACAACATGACATAAAGATACTTTGATGAAAAAGAAATATTCGATTCAGTAGTGTAAATCACAAGAAGAAAAAAAAAGGAATGTTTTATTTATATCAAATAAATAAAGGTCATAAAGTTCTCTCTTTATTATCCAATAATCAAAAGCTAAAATTGATAGTAAAACAAATCGTAGATTTTGCGTTCTTTACGAATAAAATAAACATCTCCGTAAAATGAGAATCCAACGATTAAGTTAATCGTACAGAGACAAACACTTTTTTGTATCACATCGATCGTATTCTCTCGTTTTTGGTTTCTTTTGCTACTTGATTCACTGCCAATGATGCGGTTCGTTGTGTAGGTGTTTCGAATTAAACATATATATATATATATATTGTAAAGAATAAATCAAAATGTCAACAATGCGACATATACATTCTCTATCATGTGTGAGACGGATTGACTTGGGTGTACCGTCTTAGCTTAAATACTGAAGTCATTTTATATTTAGTTTGAAATTGATACGGAACTGAGGTCTGCCTGTTATTATCAGTTGAATGCAAAAAAGAAGAGTATAGCTATTTTATTGACAAATAAAAGATGGCGTCACATTAACTTGTTCATTGCATACAGTCAGAAAAGATAAATATTCGGTTTTAAAAAAATATTTTTTATTGTGTTCACATATTTTAGCGACTCATTGCGTCGACCACACAAAACAACTATTAATAGAAAAAAAGCTGACTGGTAGATAGAACAAACGAATGATTTCATTTGTCAACAGTCATCATATAACAGCTGACTTTTTTTTCTAACTGAAAGACAACTATTGTGAATATATTTAGTTTAAGATCATGTTCCCTTCGGCTAACTATTTTCGTGATATTCCATGTCCATTTTTTTCTCGTGTGGCTTGTCCGAGGCCGAATTGCCACTTTAAACATACACAAACATCGTCGCAATCGAATGCCAATACGAATGCGTCATCAGCATCATCGTTAATAAACATACCACCAGGTTTGTTTTTTAAATTAGAAAAAAATAAACTAAATACTTTTCAAATTGTACTCTAGATGCCAATGAAACACTGAATAAACTTATTAATCAGCTATCTTCAGCTGCAACAAGTAATTCAGCTGTGGCAACAGCGACAACAACAATAACAAATCCAATGCCTTCGATTAATATCACATCTATTTTACAAAGTACACTTTTACAAAGCTTAACAGTATTTGCTAATGCATTAAATTCAACACCACAATCAACAATTTCAAATAATGAAACATCTGAGAAATTAACACAAGCGCTAACTACGATAGCAACACAATTAAATCAACATCAAACTCCAACAACAACAAATGCTGCCGAGTCGTTTCCTGAATATCGTCCGACACCTATCGTTGAACTTGAACGACGAAAACAACGAGTACATCATCCCATAGTTAAAACAAATATAAAAACCGGTAATTATTTATTTATTTATTTGCTTGAAAAGCTCATTAAGAATATTTTCTAGAACCAATTGATTTTGATTCTAATGAATATGTTCAAGCAACATTTTCTCCGCCATCGAATTCCCCACCTCAATCAGCCGTTGATCAACCTGAACCAATGGAAGTGATACATCCAAAAGTCTCTACGTAAGTTAATTTTTATCTATGTATCTCTCGAATATGATTTAATTTTAATTTCAGTGTTGCTAAATCAACTCTGCCAATTTCGTTACAGACTATTCCAAAACAGTCCACTACGGATGACTATCATTCATGGGTAACACCACCAATGCGTCGAAAATTATCATCGTCATCAGATTATAATGATTTCGATGAACGAAAACCTTTAGTCAAAAAAATAGCATCCTCTGAATCTATTCAATCCCCTAGAAAAATAACTAGTAAACCCATAGCAACAGTGAAACCAAATATAATAGAAAATACCATTAAACCAACTCCTCCTACTGATCCAATGTTAAAACGAATTCCAAAAAAACCAATATCTACTAAAGTACGTATCATGGATGTCGATTTAGATAGAGTACCTGTTACATCCACAATATCAATTGATGCTAATAAAAAAGTAACATTACTCAAACGTACATCAAGTGGAACTAATGAAATACCTCAGAAGAAAGCAAAAATAATTCCAACAACAACAAAACCAACTGTATCAACCAGTATTGGTCAAAATATCAACAAGCAAAAGCCCATTACGAGTAGGATTGCTATTATGTTTTTTTCTAATAAAAAAAATCGCTTCAAGCCATTGATCTTTGTCAAACATAGTTTTCCTATATTTATTTTAATAGATAATAATAATAAAAATATATCTGACTATTGGGAGTCATATTTCTGAACAAAATGCTGTTAGTGCAATCCCTGTGGGATTAAAATGTGAAACACGATAAAGCTCCTTTTCTGAAATCCGTCTACCACGGTCTGTATTATGATGTATGGAGTCTCTAGAGACTATCGCAGACCGTTACACAGACTTCAGAAGCCATCACAGACCGTGACAGAGAAGTTAATTAATTAATTTCTCTATCCCGGTCTGTGGCGGGGGATGAGTTCAAATTTCTACCCTATATACTTCAACACTCCTTTCAGATTGTGTTTCACAAAATGGGTAGCCGATGTTCGGTTTCCTAACGATTGTTGTAGCTTCAGGTAGAAAACCGACCAGAGACAAATTACTTGAGGTAGACACTAACTATCTAGTATCTAGAAGATTGTACATGACAATAGATAATCAGCAAGTAAAACGGCGGCTGCCAATCATTTTTCCTGAGTTATTTCATTTTATGGATCATTCAACAAAAACAAAAACGGCGTACATTTAACTATTATAGTAGTGCGACGAAATATTTTTAGAATATAAAAGTAGGTTCGCACTTCTCATAATCCAACCAGCCACTTTATTAAGACAAGTTTTGAAACTTTTTGTATCACTTTATTTAGATGGCATCAATAAAAGTAATATCAGTGATGAAGACGATGAATTAGCTCTATTCGATCATGCTTTTCCCTCAGCAAAGCCATCTGAAACAATTACTGTGTCGAAAAAACCACCTTCTTCCTTCCCGCCAAATACTATTCAACAATTTACGTCACGTTATTCGTCTGTGACAACGGCACATACTCAAAATGGTTCAACTGCATCAGCGTCTAACATCTGTACTCGAGCAGAAACCTCTTCTGATGGTCGTCGTATTGCTCATCAACCAAAAGTTCATTCAATTTCAACAAATACTTCATTTACACCTCTACTACAACCATTAGTTGATCCAAATTCTAGTACAAATAAAATTCCTTTTAAAACTCGACAAGAATATTTAACATTTTTTCTCAATCAACTTAAAAGTCGACCATCGAATGCAAATGATTTAGTTCCAGAAACACCGATTTTTGCGCGAGCACAAGCCATCGAAAAAGAAATCTTTGATAAATCAACAAATAAAAATTCCTATTTAAACTTAGCTGCAAAACATTTAAGACAATTACGATCTGAAGACACAAATACAAAGCCAACGAATGAACAAAGTTCTTCAAAAAAGGTCAATGTTCACCGATTGGTTGTGTCACATTCAGCTATGCTTACCGGCGGTAAAACAGAAAATGTTAGTTTTGGAATTAAAAAACAGAAAGAAACCGACATTAAAACATTAACAGGTAAACATGTAGAGAATTTCCATTTTGTCAATAATGTGAAACCGCAATTGTTGCTTTTAGAACATGAACTTTATACCCTCTTATTTGCCTATAAAGCATCTGAACGAGATATAGTCGAAAATGGTTATCCAGCATTTTCACTTGATTTTCCAGATAAAGTTTTAATTAAAAATAAAAACCCACTTTATAATCCAATAACTAAAAGTCATTCATCTGACCGTAAGCATCGATTGATTAGATATTAAAATAAAACTAGATTTTTGTTTTGCAGCAAATACTCGTATCTGTTGTCGATGCAGTAAAACATATAAAATAGATATAAATGGAGAATATGTGAAACAAGAAGATTGCATTTATCATTGGGGACGAATGCGATCACAGCGAGGTACATGAAAAACTTTATTTCATCTTTATCATAAACAATCGTTTTCTCTCACTACTAGTCGCGGGACAAATAGAAAAAACCTACGGATGCTGTTCTGGAAAAATATCTTCAGGTGGTTGTGCTGTTTCGAAATATCATGTACATGATAGTGATGATACACAATTATTATCAGGTTATGTGAAAACGCAACCTCTTCGAAAACCATTAGTTAATAATGAAAGTTACGGAATTTATGCACTTGATTGTGAAATGGTAAGAATAAACGTATGACACTCTCATCGATACTGAAGCCGAGAAAATAATTAGCCATATTGAAAACTACTACTGCTTCGCGATTCTAAAGATTTGATAGGCAACTTGTATCATTTATGTATAAAGACATTTCAAATAAATAATTCGCACGGCAGAATTACAAGTCGATGTAGCTGATTTTTTTCTCACATGAAACTAAGATCGCTATTCTTCGAGTTGCAAATCAAAGATTTATGTTAGGCAAACGTTTTAAAATTTCTGATTCTTAGCCAATGATTCAATCACTTGTTAATTTCTTCTTAGTGTTATACAATGGAAGGCGTTGAACTTGTTCGTGTTAGTATTGTTAATCATAAATTACAATCAGTATATGAAACTTTAGTTAAGCCTCATCATAAAATACTTGATTATAATACTCGTTGGTCGGGAATAACTGAAAATCAATTGAAACCTTGTAACATAACAATAGAAGATGTACAAAAACGTTTATTAAAATTATTTAATGATAAAACAATTTTAATTGGTCATTCTTTGGAAAGTGATTTGAAAGCATTGAAGGTAACCGACAAATGAAAATCTTAGCTAAATCATTCGATTTATATTAGATTGTACACAATACTGTTATTGATACATCTCTGGTTTTTCCACATCCAAAAGGAAGACCGTATAAACGCGCATTGAAAACATTAATGTCAGAATTTCTAACAAAAATTATTCAAGAAAATAGTATGAAGATAATTAATAGCGATACTCGATTGTTATCATCATATTTTGTTTTTGTTTTATTTAGCCGATGGACATGATTCAATAGAAGATGCTAGTGCGTGTATGGAACTTATGTTATGGAGAGTAAAACAAGATCTCAAAAGCAGTTAATCGAATTAATAATATGAATATTGTTTTTTCTATACTTCGTTCGATAGTAACAACATTGCTTTTGTTTGAATAGATATTTAATTCTATATACATATATTTATTAGTCCATAGCTGATGTCTTTCGTTCGTTTTATTTCTAGCAAATATGTTTTCTTTGCATTTCTGTATTTATTTCCACTGGAAAAAAAAGTGAATTAGTTGAACTTTTCTTTTCAATAATTAACAATAAATATGACTTAATGGATTTTAAAATATAAATGAACAATATCGATCAATGGAAAACTATTTTTCATTAACACAACGGAACAAGAATTGAACTGTTGGAACTCGATAAATGTTGTAAATTCTCCTCTCGGTTGTCATCAATAAAGTTAATTCTGTTGATCATGCTGCTAAATAGAAAACTATGCTTTTCTTCATAAAAATACTACAACCTAATATTCAATTATTTAGAAAGTTATATGGGCGAATTCATAGAAACTGCGGAAATAAGTATTTATTGACTACTATGTCATATCCTAAGCTTCTTCGATTGCTGAACTTGGAACTTTTCAAGCCTACATCAACGATAGATGTCGATGTAAAGTTGCTTTCCACGGTGAATTGGTTCTAAGATTGTTTTTAAACAGAATTAATGTATTATTTTGTTCAGTTCCCCGCCCACACCTTGCTCCATTACAGTCTTTGCACTATCAAAAGCAAACAATTTTATTGTTTGACGAGAGAAAGTGAAATAGCACAAGAAAACAGAAGTAAAACATAAAAAAATTCTTTTTGTGTCTTCTTTTATGCTCATATCACAGTACTCCTGTAGAAAATTTCATCGCTATCTTATCACAATAAAATAAAATCGAAAAACGTCAACTATATCGTCTTTGGTATGGTTTCAATCATTTCAATGCCATGAAAATTCGTCAAACATGAGTACATTATTGACAACATCCTTTCAGCTATCAGTTCCATCGATTGAGTCGAATAATCCTCCCCAACCTGAACCTAAACTCTATTCAAATAGAAAAAAAATCAAATCGTTTCAGATCATACAATTCTTCATAATAAAACTAGTTATTTCAATAACTTACCAATGGAGGTTCTAAACTAGATGGTATATTATCCGAGCTTCCTTGAAATACAGTATCACTCATTTGACTAGTTGTAAAAAGCACTGGAAGATCCGGATGGAAAGTAGGATACGAAGTATTATTGTTAGAAGACGACACTGTCACTCTCTTGGCACGTTTAGATCGTTGATTTGAAGTATTTCCTAAGATGCGTGTTTTTTTTTACATAATTAATAGACGAACAGTGACAACATACGGCGCTTTGACTTGTTGCTTTGCGATGTTGTTGCCGCTGTATCTGTCGAAGCATTCGAAGGAGGTGCCAAGGTGAATTTTGAAGTTTTCTCTAGATGTTCAAAACAAACGTTGATTATCTGTAAGAAACTAACGTAAGTTATAAGTACTCCCAAAATTCATTTCATCAGATAGAACTGAAGTTTCGCATAGAAGAACACCATCTTTCTGAAGAAAAAAAGCGATTCGAGACTTTTGAAAATTCTGTGCGGAGTCCGATGATTTGTTTTGCTGGCTGTTTTTAATATGACACAAGATATTTAACGGCGTGTTCGGACTCAGTTTTGCTCCTTTTGATTGCTACAACTAGTAGCTCCAGCCTATAATTAACAAAAACAGAAAATTTCAATTTGAACTAGTGAATTTAGTTTACTCCTTTTCCACTGCCAAATCACTAGGTTCAATATTGAGTTCATATTGATCTATTTTTTCTAAATTATCTTTCTCTAAACATGCTCGTTCTGGATGAGAGTATAGAGAACGTTGTCCCGATTTACAAACGTCCAGTACTAAGAGACCGACTAATTTCCATTCGTGACCAATTTCTTTTAAAATGTAATGATCCAAAATCTATCATTTAAAAAGACATAATAAGAGTACATGACATATTTTCAATAACCTTACTTTAATTTTAGGCAATTTAGATGCATATTTCTCTTGTAATTCTCTTTTAGCTTGACTTTTTGCAAGTTTACCGGTTATTTTTCCTGTTGCCACATTCTTTGCATCAGATATGTACTGATCTCTTTGTATATCATTGACATTATGACCAGGAACAAAACCCATTTTTGGATCTTCAGATAATTCAATAGTAGGAATAGCTGATGCTTCTGAAGTTGACAACGATTGATCACCATGGTACGTCTCTTCTGTTTGTTGAATACTGGTTGACAAAACTAAAAAGCGAAATATTTGATAAAACTCCAAAGCTTTGAAGTTAACTAAACCTTCTGTTGTTTTTACAACTGCTTGGCTGATAGTTGAAAGACAATCATAATCTATTCAAGACATATTCATGATAGTAGAAGAAAAATACAATGTGCTATTAGTACACTCACCCAGCAGGGTAATTTTCAATTTTACTGTTTTTCCTGGTAAATTAGTTACTCGACCCGTAGTCGTGTCAACATTATTTGGATTGAATGGCTCATATTCTGCCAAATAATCATCATCCAAAGTGACAAAATCGCCATCCGGTTGATCCTGAATTTCAATATGCAATGGAGGCTTAAACTTGTTAGACTTTTGTAAGATGAAAGTCACAATATCCTTCGTCGTTGTTGTTTCAGTAAAACGCTGTGTCTTATAGCTGTATATCTTTTTTCCATTGCTATCAACAATTTGTAATATTGTATGAACCATCACGCTGCTACTATCTCATTCGTTTTGATCATTAAATGCAATACCACAAATTATATTCCATACAGCTAGAAGTCAAGTTGATGGAGAATTCTTACTATCAGACACCACCGTTGGAACAATAAAGCATACTCTTTCCTACTGAATCATACAATTTTTATATGGCATCCGAACAAGACAAAGAAAATAATAAGACCGAAAACAACTTTTTCAACGAAAGAAAGTGACAATATTTATGTAAATATAATTCTTTCTCCTTGTTTCTTGTGATGCAGAAAAGAACGAAAAATTTAACGGTAGGAAAAATGATTCGGACTTTTCAAGCTCGATGTTTTCCCCTACTTTTTACATCAACAAAAAAGTACACAAATGTGAAACTGCGGCAATACTACGAATTCACCCTTATTAAATTGGTGAATATATTCAAATTTATTTAATATATGGTATATTTTGCAACACAAACTGATTAAAAAAAGGATCGGTACATTCTGTGGGATTTATTGCATAGAATATATACTAGAAGGAGAATTTTATTAAACATATGGCCAACTACAATCTTTATCTAACATTTAATCACAAATTTCACCATTTCGTTTTGAACTCCAATATGTCTTTAAGTTCTATCAAAGTTATAGTTGGAGAAAAGTTTGGTATTAATCCAGCTACGTTTGAAATCCAAGTCCAGGACAAGTACTACAGAGAAACTATTGTCTTAGACAATGAATACTTGGGGGAATTACACGAACGACTACATTTGAGATATATGAATACGATTTACGGTGATATTTTATTGGATCACCAACCAGCAAGTAAGTTAAAATATATAGAATAAAAGATAGCCCACAATAGATTAGTATGTCTATCTCTAAAAATACATGCTAGCACCAAAAAACACTCAAAGTCTTTGTAATAGTTAAATATAGCATGTACACTAACTTATTTTCACTGTTAGACATTTCTCAAACCACATATATAATATATAGCATTACAACTAGTTTCAACTGTTAATTCTAATTTAAGATTATTATGATTGGCAACACTGCATGAAGAAAGTAAAACATGAAGATTCGACAATAGATTTATTATACAAACCTAATAGTACCAAGAGTAAAACTAGAATACAAGATGTGATCAATATCATCTACGGAGAAGAAAAACTAGCCTCAAGTCCAGAAGAATTATCTATTTCGACATCATCAGAAAGTAAGATTTTTTGTAAGATTACGACAAGGTCTTAATAAAGAATTCGTTTGCATTATTTTCAGTAGCAACACTAGATGCATACAAATCAGATGAATCCATCGACTTGACGAACTGTTCCAGACCATTAATGTACGAAAATCCATTTGCTCTACGTCCCCCAAATAATGACCTCATACTACCTTTATGTGCTCTCAACACCTCAATTGCAGAGGAAACGTCGGAAACATCATTTCAATCGTATCAAAATGAATTAGGTTTAACTGAAAAAATTAATTTTGGAGTGCCAGCTGTTGCCGACAATCTTAAAGATACTCTTATAAATCCGCCACCCAGCAATGAAGCCATTCCAACAGGAACATTATGTCCAGGTATTTATGAGAGAATTTTCGACTATCCTACCTTACCTCTTCTTGATCATATTGCGCAACCGGCAACATCACTACCGTTATCAGCTTCATTAAAAATTGCGCACGACGTTCAACCTTATCAGAATATACAGCACGATACAAATATTTCCGACGACTTTATAGACCGAAAAATCGATCACCTTATGTTATGCGTATTCAAGGAATCAAGACTCAAGCAGATAAAGGAAAAAGCATTTTGCCTCGAATAAAAGTACGTTTCCAAACAGCAAAGATTTTCTAGAAATATAAAATCTATTCTCACCATAGTTCACCACTCTACAGTCTAAATGATAAAATTGTGAGCCCGAAAGTAGATCAACGCTTATTAAATCCTTTAGACAGTCCTTTGAAACATCAACACAACTTGCATAGTTAGTATTGCAATATTTCATGGTAGATTAAAATTTTAACATATATAATTCAAACAGAAATATTTTCAATCACTCAATAGACTTGAGTTAGGTTCTTACGGATCTCAATTGTAAAAATATTATATCAATTAAAAACATTCTAAAGGATACTTGATTTGTTTTATATTAGATTCCGGCACGATACATCTTTTTAAATCAACAATCAGTACATGACATTTATTTGATGGTTGCTGTTGTGCATGAAGAAAAAGTCGATAATAAACGAAACTTTTATACATCTGATGATATACAATTCTTGCCTCCTGGTGCAAAAAAACACACAGATGGGATCAATCCAATTCAACTAAATTTAAATTCACTGCAAATTCAATCTGACGGAACTTGCGGGTATGATATGTCGGACTAATATTTTGATGTTTACATCAATCTTTCTTTTTAGATTATCATTAAGATTAATGAATAGATCATGGTTATCTAAGACGAAAACAGCGAAAATGAAGGTATTCTATCAACTTAATGAGGACACTGTGAAAAATTTACATCATGCTGAATTTGATCAGAGATCCATTCGACTTGCATGTATACTTATTCAAAATAAGAAGATAGAGTGGGATACTTTTTGCCTATCTGATTATATTCGTCCAAGTAAAGTTACTCATACTTTAATTTAAAATAATACTATTTTTTTATTAATTCTAGAGAAATAGTTAAGAACCAGGGGTCGCAACGGTCCAACTTTTCATGGACCGACCCGACCCATTGTGACCCGTCAGCTAGATGGGCCCGCCCGGACCGACACATTAATCACAACGGTCCGGTCCGACCCGACCCGTTGATTTGTCTGGACCGACCGGACCGGACCGACATAATCCGATGAACTATCTTTTAATCATATTTGAGATTAATAATATTGAAACTTAATGCAGTATTTAGAAAAAGTTACCTACACGTACACAGTGTGACTTTGATTTCTTAATAAATTTCATAAGATCACATAATTCATATGATAACAAAAAATACCGTAAGTAACGGATGCATCGGCAAATATGACGGTCTCAGTTTTTCTTCAATATTCCTTTCAGCTTTCATAGTTTCGGACTGACTTTTTTACCCAAAGATTCAGCCTTGAATGCTCTACAAAACCATAAAAAATGAATCGTATGGAGATAGAAACAAAAATATTATGACAGTAATACTCAAAACAAGTAACATCAACAACTTTAGAGCACGAACTACGACTTCTTGTATTTATGTGTTCTCATATCGAGCTATAGAGCCAAATTGAACTGCCGATTGTGTAGAGCTTCAAAAGGTCTATCTTATTAGTATACTGAAATAATTTCATAATCAAAACATGCTGGATAAAATAAGTATTACTTTTTCTTTAAATTTTCTAAAAAAACGCGTTTTTACCAATAATTTTCCGTTTTCTTGAAAAATTCATATTAGTCGACCAAGTACTATTTTTTGGTGAAAAATTTCTGTCTTTTTTTAAAGGTACAGACTGGCACTATGGAATATCATGGAGTTATACCTTAATTCTGCAGAATTATCACTTCCTATCGACTAGATTCAAATAAAATGCCGAAATATGCCAGAGGGTGACTGAATGACCAAAAACTGAATGCTTTGTCAATATTTTTTCGTTGAAATATTCTTTCGTATGTTTCATTATATAGTGCGCTCATCATCGCATCAGAAATATTACTTTGAAGCTTTCTAAAAGTGTTTCACTAGCAAGAAAAAATGCAAATTAATTTGAATACAAGTTCTTTAAAGTTGATATCGATGTTTGTTAGAAGTATCACTACAATAATTGCTTTGTTTCTATCTCCATGTGATTCATTTTTTTTATGGTTTTGTAGAGCATTCAAGGCTGAATCTTTTGGTATAAAAGTCAGTCCGAAACTATGAAAGCTGAAAGGAATATTGAAGAAAAACTGAGACCGCCATTTATGCTGACGCACCAGTTATGTTCGATTCATAAGAAAAAAATAAAACAAGCCGGTACGGGTGGACCGAAGAAATACGTGGCCCGCCCGGACCGGTAGAAAATTTTCACCGGTCCACCCGGCCCGGTGAAAATTTACCAACGGTCTGGGCCGGGTCGGGCGGCCCGTTGCGACCCCTGTTAAGAACATAATCGCTTGGAGAGCCAAATAAAATTTATGATTTTTATCTCGGCTTATTATTAAAGTAACCACAGGACGCTTATTGTTATCAAAATACTGTTTTAATTTAATTTTGAATTATCAACTGTATGCAAGATATTGACAATTTTTAGTGTGATATAATTAATACAATTGCTGCATGCATTCTTTGCTATCTGGATCTTACATCTATCTTTTAACATGCTTCAACAATTATTTAAAATAGAGTGTGATATATTGCATTATATTTATTTACTTAAAATAAAATAATTTTTTTTGGATCGAGTTTCATTAGGTAACATTCAAAACACTGAAAGCACTGATTTTGCAATCAATCTGCTATTATTTATTCCGATGAATAGAATGATGTATGGAATCATATGAATATGTAAATCAAGTATTGATATTCATATTTAGATTGACTTATACGATGAAGTAAAAATCCCTTAGCGTTATTTAAAAGGTCGTTAATATATTTTCTACTGGTCAATTTGTGTTCGTAATATTCGTTGATCTCGTTCTGTTAATCTCGTCACTGACTTATTTAGAGTATTGACTAATAGTAAGAAGTATATCAAAGAGGACCGAGTCTACTACCAATGATGTCAATTTCGTATGAAGACAATTGCAGAAGACTTTTGCGTTCCTGGTAGATTCGCAGTCTGCATTTCTCTGACATAATACACACTCTTTTTATTTTTTCGATAAAGTATCAAGATAGTTAGATACTGTTTCAAAAACTTACCGTAGCTGTCAGTTCAGCAAATTCACTTTCAACTAATTCAACTGCACCCTGCTTCCCCATACTATCAGCTTGAGAATTGCTGCCAGCCATAAGCATGCTATTACTACCTAGTTATGTATTGCAATTAAATGTATGAATTTAGAAAAATGACAATTCACAGTAGCAATATAAATATGATAACCTACTCAGATGCTACATAGAGATTGTTTCTTCATTTATTTTGAAAAAGATGATGTGCAACAATTTTTATCTTTCTTTATTGAAGTAGCCACATTAGCATTCTCTGAAAACGCATTGCCATTTGGAATGAATTCACTATCGTTCTGATTCGATTGACTATATAGATAATGATGAAATTCTTTTCTGATATCAAATTAAAATTACTTCAATATATCAGATTGATACGATGCAATATCAGTAGTTGACAGCATTGAAAATTTAAGCGTCTTGTCCTCTTGTTGTTGATCAATAGATGGATATATTTGATCTATTGAATTTGCTTTAATATCAAGATCCGTTTGTAATTTAGATGTTTTCGAATCAAAATTTAATACAGGGAATTCTTTGGTTGGTTTTATTTTATTATTATCAAATCCTGTCGGAAATAATTGATGTTGATTATCGGTATTGTTTTCCAGTAATGTCGATGAAAGATAATAACGATTGATAAATTCATTAGTATTTAATGAGAATTCAAAGACAATAGGTATTCCTATTGGTACTGCATAATTGACAAAGTCATCTACGACATAGTTATTCATAAGGCGAATAATTGCTTTTACTATATCTTCATGTGTGACAAGAATAATATTTTTACCAAGATATAAATTGCTCAATAATTGATCATAAAAAAATGGTAAAAGTCGCTTTCGAACATCAGAAAGTGTTTCTGTTGATGGAACAATAGAAGATATGTGATGATATTTATAATTCGATTGCGGATGCAATGCATTTGATTCTTCGAGTAACGGTGGTGCTAATTCTGGTCGAGTGAGCCATTCTTTTATTTGATTTTGACCAAATAAAGCATCGGCTCTATCGCGATTAAAACCCGTTAGATTGCCTAACATACGATCATTAAGTCGCCATGTATTATAGACTGGTAACCACAGATAATCCATTTCTTCTTGGATAATAAATAAGGATTTAGCTGCACGTTTAAGTACACTAGTAAAACAGATGTCGACGGAAAGTTTTGCTTGATGAAGAGCTTGACCTGTTCGATGCATTTGTTCATTGCCAATAGTTGATAAATCACAATCATTCCATCCGGAAAAACGCTTATCAATTTCATCTTGGCTGATTCCATGTCGTACCAGAATTAGACAGCAACGTCGTTCATGATCATTTAATTTTATATCTGATTGAATAAGAGTTTTTTTTACTCGTGAACATTTCGTACGTTTATTTATGCAACAACGGCATCGACAAATAGCACATTTAGCACAATCAGAAGAATTTTTTATTGTATTGGTTGCCATTCAACAAAAATGAACTCAATTTTATCGTTGTCAAGACTTTTTCGAAAAATTATAAACTTGTTTACTAATCAGTTATTTTATAACGCTATGTGCTTTTCCCTGATTGTTGTTAGCACATCTGTTATGCCCTTCTTTTTTCTGTCGCAGCGAAATCTACACTACGGATAGATAAGATGGGATGTATCAAATATACAGTCATATCATATGCATAGGACATATAGATTGCACTTCTCTAATCATGGCAGTACATAAATATTGCACAAGGATGCATATCTGTGTGATTATATAAAATAGAATTGAGTTGAGTTGGTACTATTGCTACCACAGACACTATAGTATTTCGAGATGTCAACGATAGACAGATCAGGACTTTAACTACATATAAATGATGAATAAACTTTCATTTATTAGAATCAAACCAAAAGAAGTACTTAATTTCTCTTCGTAGAATTATAAATGTTTAGTTTAAGCCAGTCAAATCATGAAACAAATGCTTACGAATGTTGGTCATGCGCAATGTTCTCATGCTTGTTTTCATGACATTTTTGAATTCATCTTTGTAGATTTTCCAAGGTAAAATATAGGCGAAAAATTTAATCGTCGATGATAAAAATGAAATTAAATAACCGAAAAGAAATAACCATGAATTCCGTGGTGTTTTCATACATCCTCTAGTCAACGATGTGATCAAACGTGGCAATGCTAATAACACCAATGCACAAGATGCTATGAAATGATGTTTATTTTGTTTGAATTTTAATTCTAAATGTTGTGTAAATGTGATTCCGGGTTGTAGATTAAACCGAGAACGAGCTATAAAAATGATAATGAATATAGTAGAAATTAAATTGATAGTAAACGGAATAAGGAAATGACAGAGAATAATAAATGAATTGAAAATATTGATTGAATAAGAACATCGAACGAAACGCCATGTTCGTTGTTCAACAAGATCATTATCATCAATCAATTGGCGATGCAGACGAATATGCAGATGTGCTATAGGTGTTAAAGGGGACAATACGTAAAGCTATACATTTGGCTATTGTTTTACTCTTACGTTTGTCAAAGTTGACCCTTTTAATAACAGCAAATATTCGTTCGACTGACACACACGCATCGAGCCAATCATTTGAAGTCAAAAGAACTTGAAGAGTCATATCTAAGAAGAAACTCAAGTGACAAAACAAACCACTGGTTGAAAATTGACACTTCGCTCCGTAATAACATTCCGGACAAACTCATACATTACACTCGGACATGTAGCATTGCCTTGAAAATATTGACCACCGTTCTCACAATCATTGTGATCTTGGCAATTGTAAGTGCTGGAATGATGGAATGTGAAACAATTCGAAAATCGATCTAAATCACATATACACATGTAGTTTTCATCATAGAAACATTTCAGTTGTTGATTTTTTCGACATAAAAGAGGATAATATTTGATACGGCGAAGGCGAGGATACGAACGAAAAGTTTTGTTCAATAACTCACGTAAAAAAATACATCGGTGATTTGGCAAAAATTCAGTTTGGATGTATTCTGATTCAATAGATGCTTCTCTTGATACAAGTAAATAATAACTTTTATTGAGTAATTCACCAATGACAATATGAAATGAATGAGTGACAAAAAGTTCTATTGTACTTTCGTCATATTTCATCTTTTTCAGTGTTGTTATACGTTGATGTTGAACATTTTCAAATACAGTAATAAAATGTATAAACATAGCCGTCGTTTGTTCAAATGTTTCTTCATCAACGTTAACATCAATTTCACTTTTCGAATTTTCACATCTACTTCCATAAAAACTTCCCTTACATAGACATGTAAACTTGTTACGAACAATGTGATCATCCCCATGTGAAACAATCAGACGGTATTCTTGTAAGATCAGATGAAATCATACAAAAAATTGTAAAGTCAGATCATCGTATCCATTCGTATTGTAAGATTCGTATAAGATCTTATCAGGACATAAGATTCTTGTAAGATCTGATAAGAATCTTACAGAAATCTTACAATACGAATTGATACGATGATCAGGCTTTACGATTCCTTGTATGATTTCATCTGATCTTATACGATCATACCGGATCAGAGGTATGATCATACAAGATCTTACTGCCTGATTGTTTGACCTGGGTCGATAGGAACGCAAATTCCATCATTTTCGCAGGTACTACTTAATAATTGACAAATTGAAAGTTTTAAATAACAAATTGAAGCATGTTTGTGTATAAGACAAATGCAAATTGATGAAGTATGACAAAATGAATCCGATGAACACGAACAATTTTCTTGAAACTCACATTGAATACCCGAATAACCTTGATCACATTGACAAAAATAAGAAAACTGTTTATTTACGTATCGAATGCATCTGCCATACTTTCTGCAGGATAACGGACATGATTCTAATTGTTGTGAATCTGGAATGAACAGTTGAACAGCTATTCGGTTTACGGGTAAGAATTGAAATGGAATCGATAGATGTCAACTTGCCCAATACTTTAATATAATCTTATCAAAAACATCGATATGTGTTGAACAACCCAGGTCGATCAAAACGGACCACCATAAACCGGCCGTTTTAAGCCGAATTAAGGCGCTTTAACAGGGTCAGTATTACAGCCATACACGGACACCGTATATCAGCCGTAAAACCTCGTAAAGCCAGTGTATTTTTTTATGCTCATAAGTGTAACACTCGGAAGTGCTTACATGTAGAAAAGAGAAATATAGATGTATAAGCGAAAACCACATCATTTTAAGCAACGCGTTACAATTTGTGCCAATAATATATTATGCTGCGTACCAATTTTCGCTTGAAGGGATATTTGGAGAGTAAATAAATGAAAAATCGATTAAAATGTGAAAAAAAAAGAACAAACTAAAAGAACGAACGAGAGAAAAAAAGGAAGAAGAAATTTGCGNAATGAAAAATCGATTAAAATGTGAAAAAAAGAAAGGAAAGAGAAGTACTGATGATAAGCAGCAGCGAAGATACGTGAGTACATCGAACAGCTAGAAAAAGGAAGAACAAACTAAAAGAACGAAGGAGAGAGAAAAAAAAGGAAAAATAAATTTGCGTAAAGCAGTACATTTACGCATCTTTCCATGATACTAATTCGCATCAACAAAATTCAACCACGTTAAAAGGAACGACTCGTGTCGATCTTTCAATTGCCGTACACGGCGCGTGCGAAAAATCTTCATAGAAGGCAGAAGAACCAAGTTCAGTTATGAACATGGTTTTCAATCTGCGTTGAATATATTTTTTAACATAAAATTGTAAGGGCTGTTCAGAAGTGACTTTTACCAGATTATGCGCAGAAATGAAGGGCCAACGATGCACCAACCGAAGACCAACACGGAATTTTTGTTCTAATACATGTTGTTGAGATACTGGGAGGAGAGGAAAAACGGGAAATAGCCACGCGAAACGCGGGAAAGTGTACGCGAAGAAACATTGACGAAGCGCTTTACATGACATTTTGCGACCAGACTTTATCCATTTCAGTTTTCCTAGCGATCTCTGAATATTTCCTATGATTTTATCGACTGTTGGTTTCAACGAAAGTTTATCCGTCCAAGTAAATCCTAGGTATTTGAATTCTTTGACTACCTCGATTTTGTTACCGTCTATTGTTACGTTTACGATCGGTCTGTTAACTTGTGTATGAAATAATTGTACTACAGTTTTAGAAACATTTAACGGTTGTTTCCACTTTTTTGAGTACATAAAAACCTGATTACAAACTCTTGTACCTTCTTTTTCTAAGTAGTCAATCATCGAGCCTAATTTTTTCATTATTGGCGGTTTAATCAATACACACAAGTCATCTGCAAATAAATGACATGAGTGAACTCCTAGATAATTTGTCAGATCTGAGTGAAACACTATAAATAAATACGGACTAAGACTACTACCCTGCGGCAGTCCTATATTTATACTCTTTTAACCAACTATTAGTCATTTTTAATAAGTTGAGAGGCATACTCATTTTTTTCTAGTTTACAGAGGAGAGCAGCATGCCATACACGATCATAAGCCTTTTGGTAATCAACATATAGGGCAAGCGTCGGAATATTAGCTGCCATGTTGTTTTTCACTTCCTGATATATCGAGAGTACTCGAGTTGGTAGAAGACATTTTGGGCGGAAACCATATTGTTCTGGCGGTACTAAACGATTTGTTTCAGCCCAGTGCCTAATTCTTAGTAAAAGCACTTTTTCAAACAGCTTTGAATGTGTAGCTAACAAGGAAATTGGACGGGTTTGCTCACACTTTGGGATACCCGATTTCAAATTATTTAGAGTAATGATTTTTGCAATTTTCTAGTCATCTGGATAACGACACTCGTTTAACCATGTATTGAAGCAGTTAGCTAAGCACTCGATGTAACTTGGAGGAAGTTTTTTAATTATAAAGTTTGACACGGAGTCAAAGCCTGCTGATTTCTTAGGCTTTAAGGTTTTAATTATACGAGTAATTTCAGTAGTGCTAGTTTTTTCTACTCTATCATTCAACACTGATAATCTATTCATCAACTATTTATACTTCCTATCAATCTGGTCTTCGTGTTCATTAGAAGAATCCACTGCAGGTACTTTGAACTATTCACTGTAGTACTGGAATAATTCGTTTGTGATTCCTTCGTGTGTTGATATTATTTTAGTGCCCTCTGATAGTTTATAGAAAGGCAGCGAACGCGATTTGCATATGCGAGATAAGTGTGCCCAAAACGCTTTATCTGCTTTATCGTACGGCGTTTGAATGTTAAATAAAAAATTTTGCCATTGAGTATTTTTATGTTTTGCTATATCAACTTTTGATTCTCTTGTCATGGTGCGTAAAAGCACCCTCGTTTCCTCACTAAAAACTCCTTTATGTCTCGAATGATAATATCTATTTCTCACTTTTCGTATTTCTTTTAATTTTTCGATGATATAAGCCGGTAACGATGGTTTATATTTATCTCTCTCGTTCCAATGAGTCACTCTGTTTTTGACTGCCGCGATGAATCGAATATATTGCTTATACCATTCATCTGCACTATTTTTCTTTTGTTCTTCCATCCAGAATATTTGTAATAGAGCTAATACTGCTTCAAATATCTTCCAATTTGTATGAGGGAAAAAAACGTTTGTGTCGAAAGAAATGTTCTCGCATGATAGCAAAATCGGCCAATGATCACTAGTGCCAGAACATAATGTTTCACTTGAAATAGTACTCATATTAGAGAACGACAAATCTATATTACGTAGGGAGCGCTTAGACGTGTTGGTCGTTGAAGTAATATAATTGAGATTGTTTTCATTTATCCATTCTCTCACGCTCGCGCCTCTTCTATCAGTTATTTGACTATTCCATTCTTTCACAGTTCCATTAAAGTCGCCTGATAGAATGGTACCTTCTATTACAAACGGCTGAATTTCATCTAGATCACGCTGTTGACTAGTGGGCCAGTAAATACCAATGATACGAACTGGCTCCAATAGTCCTGTTATATCAATAATAACCGTGTTCGGAATGTTAACCTCGATGCGCGTCGCTTTCAGATGCTTCCCTACTGCTATGCATACTCCTCCATTCTTGTTAGTATCTTTTTGATAGAACTTGTTAAAATGTGGTAATCGACATGTGCTCCACAACTCTCCTACTTCTGTAAAAATACAAACAGACACTTGAACTTCATGCGCTAAATCAATAGCTTCAACTGCGCGAGTGCCCCAACCTTCGACATTATAGCATAAAATCTTTATATATTCTTTTTGATTTCGTAAGGAAGCTATTCCAACCTGTTCCCATTCCTCTAAGACAGTATTCAAGGTTCTACCTGAGTACCATTCGTCTAACAGAGATAGTACTAATTTCTGATCTTTAGTTGAAAAATTCCAAGTTTTCAGCCGGTGCATAGCTTCATCTCTAGGATTAAGTAAATAATTATGCAAAGCAGGAAAAAAAGCTTTAGCGAGTACATCAAGATTTGATGTTCTACTTAGCGTTCTGTGTTGATCGGTTTTAATGATGTTATTATTATGGGAAGTTGGAATCAATTGAACCTGGTGATTTAATTGGAAGCCATTTATTAATCTTGAGGACCCAAAATGAAAGCGACTGTAGTATTCGTTCGCCACAGGCACCAACGATATTCTTTCACTTTTGCCAGAAGTTAACGTTGCTGGTATAAAATATTGAACAAAATCTTTCATAATGTTGATGATATCTGCTAGAACAGCTTGATGTAGCTGAGTGTCGAGCGTAACGGTTTTCGTACTTGTTGATAATAGATCGATTTTATTCTCTAGTCGTTTGTTACTATCGATAAGCTTTGTCAGATTATCATTGATTGATTCAAATGCTTTTTCTGTATCAGATGAACGTAAAAAATTCGACTCGACAGTTGTATGTGGTAACGCAATATTCCATCGTTTGTTAGAATGATTATCACTTGTTGTTAATGGTGGAAAATCTTGATCACGAAATTCGAACATAGGTGATTTTTCTTGCAGTGATAATCGCTGTAATAATCCTTTTTGTATCGCATCTTCAACATCCTCTTTTAATTGATCTTTATATTCTTTTATAACTTGACATTGATTATCTAATGAGTGATGATTACCATCACATTGAGCACATTTCGGTTCATTTTTACACATATGCGGAGTATCCACTCTCACATTCTCAAGACAAATTCGACATTTGTTTTCTGAATTGCATTTATTTCTTAAATGGCCTAAGCACCAACATTTCGTGCAGTACGTTAGACGATTTCCAGGGTAAAACTTGGTGATCGATAACCACGAATGACCTATTGCAGTTAGACCCAGTTGGAGCACAGTATTATATTCACTATAATCTTTTACATAGAATCGATAATCATCTGTTCTTCTTTGGTAGGAATAATGAAAACGTTTAATTCTGTCGGCAAAAGCAATCGTTCTCTGTATTTCATTAGAGACAAGATTTTCTTCTAAATCTCTAGGAACATAGAGCTGTCAAATACTTTATTGTGCTGTGACTAAAATTGGCTGCAATACACTTGTTTATACCTGTATATAGCTGAATGCATGAATTGCATTTGAACGTGGATTAATCGTTTTCTTCCATAGTCAAATAAATGCTACTCAATGGAGATCTTTCGGCGTGATCATCTTAATTTCGGTAGTTGCTGTTGGTTCTGCTACACCTATGATCGTCTACAATTGTGACTTTGATCATGTACCAGAATTACAGACTGTGCGTACTTTTTCGTTTGGTTTTATGTTGTCACAGGGCTCGCAGCTTATGTAATAGGCACTTTATCGGCATTGATTGGTTTCGCACGTCGCATTGGTCGACACGGAACGGAAAACGGTTCGTCCATCAAAACATTTATCAAGCTCTTATACACACATTTGTTTATTTTTATACCACCTATTGCTTACATAGTCAGCTATATTCCGTATACTATTGTCGTCAGCATAAAAGTCCTACAAAATCGTATTTTCAATGTGGAATTTCAATTGGAGAGTTCATTAGAAAGTTTATGTTAGTAACACTACAGAGTGTGCCAGCTGTTGTGACGTGGTTACTTTTTGTTTATCCATCGAAAGTGTATATGACTGAATTTTATTTGAACACATGGTCAGGACAGTGCGTAGCTAAGATTTTGATCTTCTTTAGACAAAATTATTACCGTAAAGTGAGTCATTATCCTGCTACTATAGAAGCTTCATAAATAACGAAAACACCATTACTGACTTACATTCCAGAAGATTGTAATTAAAAGATTCTTATCTATTGGTACATTCTATGCTCAATCTTTTGTTTTCATCAAGAAAAGATTTGATTTTTTAAGTTTATTTCGAGGTTCTCTGTTACATGCTATTTGTTTAAAAACGAGTCATTGTAATTTATGAATAAACAAGAACGCAGCTAAAGATTTATAATGCTCTTATGTGGCGATCACAGTAGATGTGTACTTTCCGTTGTCAATATTCATATATTGTGCCAGTAAAGACTACTTATTAGACAGTTTGACTGTAGTTGGATGTTTGTGAGCCAGTCTCGTTGCTAATTCTGTCAACGACTCATCTACTAGGGAACCAATTCATCTTATTGATCCTGAAATCTCTTTATAATATCGTTATAGTATACTGTACTCCCGTATCTGTTTTTTAGTCTAAAAATGGTGTGGGTTTATTCACTTAAAAACACATTCAATCGTGCTTGTCGGCTCAACAAATAACTCAAGTTAAAAACAATGTGATCCTATCATTGGCTCGAGTTTAACTACAGCTGTAAATCTAGAAAGTGAGTGGCTATTCATAGTTCGCTCTCATGTTGCACTAATTCTGTAAGACGCAGTTTAATAATTAAAGTGAACAATTTATTATAAACATAAATGTCTCGATGTTTTTTCTAAGTGATGCAAAATATTTCTCACCGACTGACAACTGTTATGAATGTAATCAGTCGACTTTTCAAAATTTTGATGTGATTCAAATTAATTCTTTCTTGTTTTATTGATGTAATATTTTTCAAACTATTGATGAAGGTTAACAATTTATGGCTTAATTGGTAGTCTCGCTGTAAAGAAATATTTCCTGCAAATAAGCTTTGAAGGTCACGGACACCGCATTGTAAAATTTGCGTTGGATGTCCATCCCTGTTTGATAAGGCAGCCTTTTGGTTCGGTGTAACTGTCAAACACGTTCGGAAGATTAACATAAGTATTTTTCGAAATGCTACATATTATATAATCATTAAACTTTGAGTTTCTCTGATCGACGTCAATATGTCTCAACGCGCACAGAATAGCATCCTTGTAAATTTATCCTATGGAAATGTCAAAGCCTTTCAGTCAGTCAAATACAAACGTGAAAGCTAGAATAAGGTTAGGAATTAAGAAGTGAGAATATCATATAGATGCAAAGTAATGAATCAGTGCGCCTTTTCGTACACATCAATCTCTTAAGTATAGAAGAAAGTCGTCGAATCAAGTTAATCATGATCATTCATTCACAAATATGATGATTGCTTCGATTTTATTAGTAATTTTTATAAGAGTGGCCGTTGCTTTTAATTTGAAAACTCAAGATGATATTCTTATTAGACAGCAATCGAAACACACATGTTATAATACTACTTACAAATTATCCATATTTTCGGTACACTTAGTTCCAATAGTATTGAATGGGACCAAACTCGAACAAGATAACATCACACAAATACAGTTAACCGCATCTATTGATAATCAACAGACGTTACGGTTTTGTAACGCTAATGAGATCCTCCTGATAACAATCAATCTTACAAATGATTCTAAGAGTAAGTTCAGATTAATTTAGTTGTATAGTAAGTATACAGTTGTTGTGATCGTTAAAAGACACATTCTTATCCCGTGATAGTTCAAGGTTCTATTTTCGTACCACTCTTGCTGCCTTGAAATGCAGGCTGAATAACCTACACAAGTTTTTGCTCAGAAAATCAGAAACTTACAAAATGAAGTTGAAACACTCTTTTTCTATTTTTAAAAGTGGTTGTTTTATACGCATCAATTGACAACTTTGTCTTTGAGTTAGATGACGTTGTATCATCATACGATTAGGTCGATTATTAATAAATTATAACATATTGTAATGGCATGTTTTTCAATTTTGGTAGTTCTATGCTAACTTTCTTTCAAAATAAGCAAATATCACATAAGGACAATTAAAGCAAATGTTTAGTGCGACTTCGAACATGCAACATTCACAGTTTTCAAAAATAATTCTATTCAAATCGACTACCGATTCTTTCTATCAGTAACAAAAACGAGTAATCGCTTCGAAATATTGTTAAACAATCATTAATGATACAGTTGTATGAGTTCTATCCAATAGAACATTAAAAAACATAATTGATGAAAGAGACTGATAGATAAAGAAGTTTCTTTTATATCATTAGTTGAAATCTAGAATAGTTCGAACTTCTGGTGAAACTTACGAGGGGACCTTTTCAGGTGCCTCCCTCCTGTCGATTTCAATGAAACTTCGTCCATAGGTACTACATAGTGCCCTAGTGAAAACCCTAGAAGGGTTTGAGTGCGAATTGTTTCCTTTAAAAGTTATGGTTATCTTAATTTTTTCCTTTATAATTAGAGCAAAATATACAATATTAAGAACCATAATTCTACAAAAAATACGATAAAAAATTCTGAATTTATTTCTTGGCGTTGTTCCATACCTTAAATATTTTGGTAGAAGGAAGCTGAGGATGGTAGTCTATTGAATTTTTCATTGTCAAGTTACGCTACACAATTTCCTCGTTGGCGGAAAAAATTCAGGAGTTAATGAGAAGTAACATCCAGGTCGAACAGTCCGACGTGGAAACGGCCGGTTCCGGGTAGTGCCGTTGATTTCCGATCAATTCCTACCGGAAAGCACCGGAACTTGGCAAGAATTCTCCGGAAAAATCCGGCCGTATTTTTGACCGGGGAATACTGCTTCCACGTTCCAGCGATTTCCCGTGTTTTCCTGCAGGATATGATGACTTTCCCGCATATTCCCTGGAGTATCCTACGGGATCCGGTGGCCGGAATGTTCGACCTGGTTACTGTATGATGCGCCTGGTAAATTCATAAAGAGAGTTATGTTGGCGCGATAGGTAGGTATTCAATCAGACGACTAGAATCATCAGAGGTACGGATCTCTTTTACCTGTCCATGTACATCTCTTGCGGAAAAACGATATTTTTTTTACAATACCATGTTGAAATAAGCACATGAAGAATTTATTTGAATTCATTTGTATAAAAATTATCAGTGTACACACATGCAATCAATGAGAGCAGGAAAATATTCCTTATGTGATATAGTGAGCCATTGACTTTCTTAAGAAAACGAAATTGTGACAATGAAAAATTCAATAAACTACCATTTCAAGTTCTCCTTCACACAAATATCTAAGATATTGAACAACGCCTAGAAATAAATTCAGAATTTTGTATCGTATTTTCATAGAATTGTGGTTCTTAATATTGTATATTTTGCTCTCTAAAGGCAAAAACGAAGACAACCATAACTTTTGAGGGAAGTAATTCGCACTGAAGCCCTTCTAAGGTTTTTACTAGGGCACTATGTAGTATCTATGGATGAAGTTTCATTGAAATCGACAGGGGCACCAGAAAAGGTTCCCTCGTTAATTGATAGGAACCCAGGTTGAGCATTACGACGACTAGATATGGTCATATATGCGGAATTTACGACCGTATACGAGCCGTATTTTAACGTTTTGGTATATGCCGTATTACGGCTGTATATCGCCGCGTCGCATACGGCAGAACACAACGACCGTTTAGAAGCCGTATCCGACCGTATCATAAACAGAAAACGATCAAACACTGCAACGTATATGACCGTAACAATATCGTAACCGACCGTTTACGGTCGTAATTCCAAAAAGAAAAATGCATTCATAAACCCCTCCGATCGATAGTAAGCACACTACAGACATCAATTCTACTACATTTCCATAGAAATGACATTAAAAATGCAAGCAGTCCAAAACCCTACTCCAAACCACACCGAAAATCACAGAAATCATACTTCCAACAGATCTTTTCGGAGCATTGGCTATACCTTAAATCTATAGAGAGCACCTAAAGCTAACTTCTGCTCCATCCTAGACCGGGGATCATGAGAAATCTAGAAAGTAGGAAAAGCATAAAAGAAATCCTGCTAAAATCATTGTTTTCCGTATATAATTCATCGAAAATTTGTAATCATTTTTGGGAATGATATTCGGTATCAATAAGTGCGTATGGTGTTATTAACGATTATTCATATAGTATCGAGAATAATAAGTCTTAATAAATGATGAATTTTCATGTAAGACAGACAGGAAAATTGGTTAAGTTGAAATCATCAAAAGTCATTGAAAATGACGTTTAGTGAAGATCATGATGTAAAATACAATAAATTTGTTAAGGGTAATATAAGTAATACCACGAATAGAAATCGGTGAAAAAATTAGAAGAATCACTACAATCTCCTTGATGTTTGTTACGAAATCACATCTTTCCGATCGTAGAAATACCTTTAAAGATTGTTTTTTTCGTAGTTTAATGGATTTATTCAGTAGCGTTTAACAGGAATTCGATATAGGAATATGTTCAGTATAGATCTGCTTCAAAGTTTAACTCGGTTGCAAGGGAATACGATGTTTTTGTTCGATTTATTGCGAAAGGTCAAGTGGGATTTCCGGATCTTTGTGACATAAGGCTTCTAGAGATCATACGGAACCTATGTATCCTGCTGTGTTGAGTGAATATGCATAGGATTCCTTGAATGTTGCACATTCAGGCAACTGAAATCGTAAAAAAAATGATTTGATGCTAAAATGATTTTTGCTCGAAGTCTGGTTTACCCATAACGTTTTAGATGCAGTAATCCTGGTTTTGAATTTTTTCAGTGAAAGTGAGCCGTAAATGATAGGCTTTGTCGCAGTTGCTCTATTAAGGATGGAAACAGATGATTTATGATACTTATTTTTGATAAATGATGAAAGACTGAAGAATCCTGGAAATGTGTCAGAAATCACAAACAGAAATCATAGAAATAATAAAGGAGCTCTCAGATTATTGCGAAGTATAGAGTTTTGATTTCTGAATAAATTTCAGTGTCATTGTGTTAGTATCTAGCAAGTTTTATCGTTGGTCAATATAGTAGCCAGACCTTGCAGCACTTTTGCACTGTAACATTGACAATGATTTGCCAGTTCAGGTAGTATTTCTTGATGTTTCTATGATTTTTTCATCTTAACTATTTAAGTTTTAAGTAGGGGATATGCCTGACGTGATAGGCTTGTACAAATAGTGAGACTCTTTACGATAAAACGATTGGCGGACACTTGTTGTCATATGAGCTGGAATGAATTATATCTAAGGAAAATTGTGCTAGTTTCACTTTACAACACAAGAATTGTTTTCGACATTTTATTTGGGTGTCATACTGATTTCTTGTTTGCATGTATTCATAAAATTTTAAAAAATATGAATGCCTTTTGTATTGTCATAGTAAATCATATTGATTCCTCGACAATTGTGATTAATTTAAAAGTTGAAGCCCTTCGTATTAATCAAACATTTATACACTATGTTCTCAAAACAATCGACACACAAAATCATGAAGAATCTGAAAATTGCTCTATGCGTATTGCTACTCTCCCACCACGACGTTTGATAAACTTGATATACACTAGATCAGTGCCATTCATCATGATCGTTGTCTCCGTTCAAATGGGTATTTTATTGGATTTACAGGTTCTCAAAGAACTTGTTCGTCGACCTGTGGCATTAGGGATAGGCTTCATTTGCCAATATTTTCTAATGCCTATGATCGGTTTTGCGATTTCAAAACTTTTTCGATATCCTACGTTGTATGGATTTGGATTATTTGTCGTAGGTTGCTGTCCAGGAGGAACTGCATCTAATCAATTGACAGTTATATTCAATGGAGATCTGGCTTTATCAGCATTAATGACATTTACTTCTACAATTGCCTCATTCTTTATGATGCCTCTATGGTTCTATACACTTGGAAATTATGCTTACTTACGGCAACTAAAGATTCGCATACCATTTTGGGATCTTATGCAGTCATTGGCTACCATTGTGGGACCACTTATATTGGGGTTAATAGTTGCTTATTGTATTCCAAAGGTGAAATACTATGTAACATTAATGGTAAAGCCAGTGTTTATTTTGTTATTTTTTTACTTTTTTGGCTTTGGCACGTATGTAAATTTTTATCTATTCACATATATTGATTGGCGAATGGCTTTAACGGCGCCTTTACTTCCATGGCTTGGTTATTTGCTGGCGGGCGTCCTTGCGTACCTCTTTCGGCAAGATTGGATACGTGTTAAAACTATTGCCATTGAAACTGGTATGTATATTGATTACAGTTGAGCTCCGTGTCTAACGGAATTCTCTCATGATTTTTCAGCTTCTTGTAACCTTAAAACAACAACATTCCAAATGCAAGTATTTCTAAGAGAAAGCAGTAGTGCTCAAGAACTGACTAGCAGGAATTTCTAATCTGCTGAAGAACTATCAGCATTGACGTGATAGTCCTTTAGGGAAATGGTACACAACTATTTGCTACCCAGTGAAAAATATTACTAAAAAAGAACGATAAAGAATGCGTTCCAAAAGAACTGAAGCTCTTTTTTAAGAAAAGAAAACGTTCCACAACAAATGGAAACCGTTCTCAAATGGAACGAACAAGAGCGCATCCTATCATTCTAAGAAGGTGTTCTTGGTCGTTTCGAAATGGAACAGCGAAGAATGCATTCTGCCACTTGTGGAACGCTTTCTCTTCTTTAAAACGGCTAACCTTTCTGATCACCTGGGTGATCATTAATAGATGAATCTACTATTAGTCAAAAGACTGTTCCTGATGCAACTTGACGAGCTCTATCGAATGGCGCACTCCAATTCGTTGTAACTGAAACCGTTATTAAAATGATAATTTTTCTAAATCAGACCAAATATCCCTAATGTAAAATCGAATGAAGATTCCATCATTTCTCACATCAATTTCAACCTGCTTTGCTTCAGACCTATCATTTTAAAATGAAAATGTGGTTTGCTTCGAAAAGAAAGCATTCATCTCTTCAGAGAATCCATTGTCTTAAAGGCTCGTGAGAGAAAGTAAAGAAAAGCTATTTTATTTCGATGAAATGCTATGTTAACCGTTCCGAAAGAAAATGAACTAGAATGAATTCTGCTGGTTTAAGAATGATTCAGAATGCTTTCTCTTCAAATAAGGAACGATTTTTCAGTATAGAAGAAATTATTCCATACTAGTGTGGAATGGTAAAGAGCGAGTTCCTTCAGATCGAGAATATTTCTTTCTGACTCTGAACGCATTCGCTCAAACAAGGAACGCATTCTCTACGTAGGAGATAGGTTTCCATATCCGCATGAAACCATTCTATTCCGTTTTTTTTCGAAATATTTTTCACTGGGTATCTCATGGTTGAAAGTCAAGATGAAGTGTTTTCTTAAATCGTTTTTCTATGCACATATTTATATTCACAAGAGCCTTGATCAAAACAAGTGGGATAGTAAAAGTATACCGTGAATATTGTATCTTTAAAATTTTAAAATTCAGCACACTGTAAGATAATTGAGGACGCATTTCTATTCCTGAATCAGCCTCGTTTCCTCTCAAATTTCAATTCAAGTCTAGAGAGCAATAATCTTTAGATTTGCGTCCGATAAAATGCTATGCGTTCAATAAACAATATGCATTATCTTTGATACATAAGATACTGACTCCCCGACATTGATGATTTTTCATGATAGGTCACCCATGAATAGTCATCAAATGTTCAAACTTAGTTTTCTCTCTATCGATCCAGATCTATTTGAAGTGAAAAGTGAAGGTTATTGAAACTTAATTTAGTCCATGCTTTTTATCAGCGAAACATCAACTTGCAGGATATTCTTACAACTAACAAAATAAAAGAAGTCATAAATATTAGTATTATGAAGGTCACGAATAGAAAATAGCAAACATAGATGAAGGAAATAGATGTCTGATACAAGTAACCATTTCAACCAACCATACTTATCGGCATTGATACCTTCAATGTAGACTTTTAGAAACGACCCATGTCATAGAAATCGCGCTAAAATCGGCGATTTAATCGCGATATGTTAGTCCGATAATCGTGAGATTATATCGCGATTAAATCGCCAAAACTGTCGATTTTTGCCGATTTTGATAAATAATCGCAATTTTGCGCATTGTTTTTGCTTGAATATTGATTAATCAGTAATGTTATGGGTATATTTTAATACATAGTATGCATGTGTACTACTTTTTCTTCGTTTATTACTAATAAGCTATTGTTCAGGCAATACGTTTCATGAAATTATGACAGGAGTTTTCATGAGCGACGTGACATTCTAACACAATGCGTGCGCATTACAATGAACAATGTAACATAATACGATAATAAATAAAGTATCAGCTAAGTAATTACAGAAAACAATTTTCGTATAACACAAAATTGTGTATTTACATTAGGTTATCGTTTTCGTATTAGCAACAAATAAAATATCAGTGTCTTCTGTTTGTTTCTTCCAAGCTTGAAAAATTAGATTTCTTCTGATGATTGTATTTGTGATGATAAAATACTTTGATTCGGTGCGCCTACCAATCAACGGAAGGATCAATATTCGAAGGCTGACGGATAAAAATTAATCAAAATTTACCTGTGGTTGATTTTGAATAAAATTTTCTGTTGATTTCTTCTTTTGCACAAAATAGAGTCATGAATAGGTGCCAGATAATTGACATCCGGCCGGGTGATAACCAAATTTATGTTCTACTGCATCTAAATCAGATTAAAAAAAGTGCGACATATCATGAATACCACTTTCGTTCATGTCTTCTTTCCATATATTTTCTTTATTCTGGGATCATCATCAAAATTTGGCGAACCTTGTTCATGCTCTGTTCCTCGAGAAAATAAATAAGAAACATGACTAATGAAGAGTAAATTTTTTCAATTACCAATTATTTAATACTCGAATTTTCGAGGTTGAACCAGATTTAGCATTGATCGAACCATACTGACAAAATAATGAAGATAATTATTTTAGCAGGTTTCTCATTTACAGTTGATGTCTCATCGCCTAATAAAAGAGTAAAACATGTGTGAGAGATTTTTTTGTAAACCATTCACCAAAAACAATACTACATAATAGTTTATTCGAAAAAGTCGCTACAAGTATCATACTCATACATCAAGTAGATTACATGCCATTGCATTTGTACTTTGTCGTTACAGCTTCTTTATTATTTCATATGAGTGTAAAGTGGACTGAAATTATTGTTGAAGAAAACAATAAAAGAAAAAAAAACGCTAGAATCACCTTAAAATGGCTTTGTTGTAGTTTAAATTTGTCTTATTCACTTTGCACACTTTGATCTTCGAAACAAAGTGTACGAAACCATGATGCTCAAAACTATCGTAGTGTATTTATACATTCTATTTCAGATTCCTATTAGGAACACTGATGCACGAGAAGAACAATGACTATGTGTCCATGTTGTTATTGGATACAGCAAATTACCCAGCAAAAATTCAATCCGACTTTTTTTCCTCACATATACTTTACTATTAAAATTCTTGAAATGTTTATGAAAAAGAACAGAAACACGCTTTTCCCCTTTGAGTTTGAATTGTCGAAAACAGTATAAATGTAGTTTTGAAAGTATAACTCATACTTCAAATATTAGAGTATCGCCTTTCACATACTCTATAAGACTATGCAACTGCTGCATGGTCTTATAGAATTAAAATAACACAAATTTTGTATAATATACCCAGGTCGATCAACCTGAGCCGTAAACGGCCGTATACCTATCATTCACGGTGAAAAACGGCGACCGTATTTTGTAGTCGTTTACTGTTGCCGTAAACGAAGTTATACGATGAAATACAATCGTCGTAAACGAGGACCGTGAAAAGTCTCCGTAAATGGTCATCGTAACTAAACGCTAACCGTAAACGAATGTCGGATATCAAAGTAAACAGCCGTTTACAATGACCGTAGACAATCCAGGAAACGATTGCCGTTTTTCTATCGTATACTTTTGTACGCGGTCGTTTACGATGACTAGCTGTTTGCTTAAAGTATAGTAGCATTTTTTAGATTGTAGCATGAAAAAATCGAATAATCTTGTGAAATCTGTGGTCGGAAATTCCACTACTCTTTAATGTCACTTTGATTATCCACTATACAGAGATGCTGCCAATTTTTTTTACTTTTTAAAGGCTCACGGAATCATTAAAGTCAGCTTTTTTTTCTAAATTTTAGTCATAAGGAACATACAATTAGAAAAAAACGAATAAATCATAATTCATCCACAACTTCCTATTACTCAGAATCATAAGCTGGATAAGCATGTTACGTCAAGCATATTCTCTACTTGAAACTTATATGGTAAATATGAAAAAATCATAGAAACACCAAGAAATATTGCCTGAACTGATAAATAATTGTCAATGTTACAGCGCAAAAGTGATGCAAGGTCTGGCTACTATATTGAACAACGTTAAAGCTTACTCTGTATCAACACAATTATATAAAAAATTTATTCAGAAACCAAAACTATATACTCCACAATAATCTGAGAGCTCCTTTGTTATTTCTATGATTTCTGCTTCTGATTTCTGACACATTTTCCGGATTCTTCAGTCTTTCATCATTTATCAAAAAGAAGTTTCATGAATCATCTGTTTCCATCTTTAATAGAGCATCTGCGACAAAGTCAATCACTGACGGATCACTTTTACTCAGAAATCCAAAAGCAGGATTTCAGCATCTAAAAACGTTATGGGTAAGGACAGAAGACATGACGTGCCCTCCTTTTAACTAAATATTACTAAGTCCACGAAATCATTTCTCAACCTCCGTGACTTTTCAAATTCATTTACATCAAGCTACTTCTCCTTCAATTCGATGCCATTAACTATCTAAAGTTCTTCAAAGCCGGCTTCTACCGAAAACCAGACTTTGAGCAAAAATCATTTCAGCATCAAATCACTTTTTACGGTTTAAGCTGCAAATCAAAATCTGTAACTGCCTGAATATACGAAATTTCGCAAATTCTATACATATTAATTCGAAGCAGCAGAGTTCATAGATTTCATATGATATCAAAAAGCCTTCTGTCCCAAAGATCCAGATATTGCAGCATTTTCCGCATTAAATCGAACAAAAAGATCGCTTTCCTTTAAAACCAAGTTCAACCTTGAAGCCGATCTATGCTCAACGTAATCCTATATCGAATTCCTGTTGAACTCTACACCATAAATCCGCTAAAATAATGACAAAACGATCTTTAAAGGTATAGCTACGATCGAATTTCGCATCAACCATGAAGGAAA